ATATAATTATATAAGTTTCGATCACTGTTTTTCAGTTTTGAGTCCCATAGTTCTATGGGAACTAAAGTCAACTTATTGACCGGCTGCCCTGCCAAATTTGTGTGTACTTTTTACTTTGGCAGTATCCTCCAGCGGGATTAAAAGCAATTGTTGGCTCTGTGGCCGATGCAGCCACAAGTTTTGAGCCTGGCCAAATCTAGGCTGCAATATTTGAGCCGCCGCCAAGAGCCAAGTAAAAAGCAACAGCAACTAGGACAATTAGCACAGCCAAAACTGCTGGGCCATAAGTTTCCGTTGGCAAGACAACGCACACAAAAGTGAACCAAGTTCTGTCGTCTGGGGGGCGGTGGTTCAAGTACCTCTTTCTGTTCCAAATCCCCATCTTTTGCGTTGTTTCGAAAAACTTGCAAAGAGTCTAGTCAAGATGAAACTAAATTAAATGCGGCTGAGGAGACAATTATTCTGCCATTTATCTCTCATATGGCATAAAGTTACAGAAAGTTATCTTTTTGAACTCGCTTTGAGCTGCTTAGCGACACGTGGCCTCCTTCTTTGCCGAGGTGAACTTTTTAGCCTAGGATGCGGTGTAAAGTATAACAAGAATTCGCCATGAAGCTCCTCCCCGGCGGATACTTTACTTTTATTTACTGTCGCGGGTCATATTAAATTTCCATCGCCACTCCATCGTCGGAAAGTTGAATGAATGTTGTTTTCAAGGCCCTCTTCCATTGAATTGCCTTCCTGGAGGCCCGGCGCGAATTGAATTAAATTGTGTGATTGAAGCATAAATAAATTCATTAAATACTTTGCCAAGATGCCATGAAAGCTGCCAAGTGCTGTTTTTCCAGCCTAATGTTAAAGGCACTCGAGCGGATTTCCCTTCAACCGTCCAACAGGTCATCGGGCGAAACCTTCAATAGAAAGGAGACCCAGAACTTGACCTTCCCAATGCGCCGTATTGATTCAATAATAAAAATAACTGCAGAACGTTTGTAGTTCGCTTGTGTGCCTGTGTATAGCTTGAGTATCTACCCATGGCTTTGGTCACTTTCTCATTGCACCTTGTGTCGCCTATCGAGTATCTTGTATCTCAATGTCAAGGCTGTCTCGCAGCTGCCTCATTATGGATGGATTTCAATTGGACTGGCGGATTGGCTATGAAGCCAACTGCATTGGGAGCTTATTGATGTGAGTTTGGTGCTTAGATAAGTATGTGGGACCAAGATCATAACTCTATACGCACAGAACGTCAGACTATGTCAGACTATGTATTTGAAAAAGAAAATATAAAATTAAATGTTGATCATTTAAATAATGTGTACTTTATATAAATATCGGTTCAAAGCTTCTGCACAATGTAAATACTATTAAGATGAAATAGCTATCATCTCACAAACATATTGTAATTATATTTTTCTAGGTATCCAATGTGTAATCTCATACCTTAAGTACTCAATTACATAATTTTCTTACTGAACTACTAAAATACAATTAGAATCTTATTTATTTATCGTTTTTTCTCTTTAAAATCAAATTTTATAAATATATGGCTCTTGTGTTTTTATTAAGCTCTTATTTAGAAAGTCCCTGCTTACAGTGGGGCTTCAATTAACCACCTATTAGCCTCTGTCTGACCTTTCGCCCTCCAGGCAGGTGTATCTTTTTTAAGCCACCCGTTTTTTCTGTTCGGAACTAGCCGCTTATTATGCATTATTCTCAGCAGCCGGGAGCCCAGTTAATTTCACCTTTCAGGCCCTAATCCTGTAGACTGAATTTTCCGGACCTAATGCCCGCACATGCCAACAAGCTCGGCGGAATAATGCGTCAAATTGCTAATTAAGAACTGCAGCAGTGGCTAATTTTGCCCCGATTAAAGGCCATGCCATTAGGGTCCTGGTGAAATGGAACGAAGCCTGGCCGAAAGAAGCGAAAGGGTCTGAGCTTGCGTGTTAAGATATTTGATTATGACAAACAACGGCACATACTAGCGCCCATACACACACATTCCAATTAGTAGAGGGCGTGTCCTTTTTTGTGAGCCGAGAAGTAGACTGCGCTACTGGTCATTCAACTACTAGTGCCGAAAACAGAATTTGTGTCACGTCACACTGACCCCTAGCAAAAAACAAAAATAATCAAGAGCATAAAGATAGCGCCAGTCAGCGAGCGGACGATTAAAAATAGTCGGAATGGATGCTGCACACGCCTATTTTTAGGGTCACACCGGGGTCAATCACTCCACGCGGCTAGACACCAGCCTGGTGGCAAAAGATGGCCAAAGTGTCTAATCATCCCCCGAGTCGAGTGGGTTCTTAAAACCACCAATTTATTTGCGTTTTGCCCGCTGCGCACAAAGTTTTTGGGCAGCTCGTTGAGGCTGCAGTAATGCGAATTGATTTCCGCCGACTGCAAACAATACGGTTATCCATTTCTGTCGCATCCGTATCCGTATCCTTACAGCATATCACACAACAACAAGCCACAACAATGCACTGGAAGAAAGTACTCAATCCGAATTCAATACTTAATTGAACAGATTAAGTTGATTAAAAGGGACATTAGTTTCCCTCTACACATAGAAATGTTTGAACTGAAAACTTGTATTTTTAAATCTTTATACAATGGCATTCGCTGTAACTGTATGACTCAGATAATATTTATGTGATAATATAAAATAATATAAAATTATGAAATTAAAGAGTGCTCCCGAAAGTTACTCATACAATAATATGACTAAATGTATAATACTAACGTAGAGTTAACTTTAAGAGTAAATTTTGTCTTCCTATGACATTTTTTTTAAATGCACTTTAAATCCATCTTCCTCTCCCAATAACATTGTTAAAAACTTCCAGTTCAAATTTCACGCCGAAATACTTGGGAAAATTGTTGATTTCATTTGGGCAGCGTAAAAACTTTTTCATTAATTGGCCCCGACTTGGCAGTTGCTCTATCTGTCGACGATTTTATGGCAATGCACATCTCGATCTGGAAAATGGGTCTTGGGCCATTTGAATTCGTTCAGCCAGCGAACGTGACCAAAAAGTTGGTGGCCCTTGTTTTGGCCATCTCACTCAGAATTCCGGAAACGGACGTGACAGTAATAGGTCATGCTCGATTCCCTTCGATTTTCGGTCTCAGTTCGAGTAAAACGCAGCTTTATTTGATTTTGATTTGATATTTTTGAGTAGCACATAAATTTACCCTCACCTTTCGTGTTGAAAGTTGTGTCCGTTTTTATGGTTTTTGGTTAACAAAGCGTTCTAAACTTTTCTGATGCGATTCGGCATTCCAAGTTTAATATGCCGTTAATTTATTTTCCATTTCAAATACACTTTTAAGGACTCTTTTATTGACTATCATCTTAAAGTCATAAAATAATTGAGTTGTTACTTTTGTTTACCGCTGATAATAAAATCGTATCTTCGGCACTGAAGTATTTAATTTGTATTTATTTAAATGGCTAATATTTTAATTACGCATCACTATTTCGGAAAGATTTTTTACTGAGAGGAAGTGTTAAAACCTAAAATGTCATGTTTTACAATATAGGAAAACATCTGATTCCTTCGTGACACTCTTATCAAAAACTTTTATGAAACTCTTTTGAACTTCACAGACTTCTGCGTGAGCAATTTAATTTTTACGCACAATTTCCGGCGGTGATTGCCCACGAAAATTCACTCCGCACATTTTGGCTTACCAGCCTCCATTTCGTCAACGTAACTCAATTTAAGATTCTTTTCAATTAATTGAATTTAAACTAATTACGCGCACTTAGCACCTTGACGGGCATTTTCGAAAGGGAAATTGATATCGAGGCGCGCGCCCATAGAAAGGACTTCCGATCCACGTCGCTGGCCGAGTGACAATGCGTCGTATACGCAACTTCCTGCCGCACAGTGTCGCGTTCCATCGGCAACTGAATTGAAAGGCCGTTCGGTGCCGACAAAACGACTTGGAAGCAACAAGCGCGCACGCCAGAATTCCAGGAGCGGACTCGAGCACCTCGGGTTATAAATCTCGGTTATTTACAGAAGCTCGCACCAGCCACATATGTAGTATGACATCACTGTACAAATTCGTCAGTGTTAGATGCGTAATTAAAACGTCTGCATAATTACACACGGGAGATTTCTGTTTATCTGCGACCACTTGACATATTTATCGCATGGACCGAAGTCGAAGTACGCGACGTGGAGCATAGGAAACCACCTGTTGGCGTGGCGCCATGTTAGTTAACAGCGGGCTGTATTTCAGGGAGCTTTTCGGTAACATTCTCTTACTGCGAACGGTTAACAGATGTTACGGAGCTTTCTTGACCGCCAGTAAAATGAGGCTCTTATGTAGCTAAATAATTTTTATGGCCATTCAATCAATAAATCAACTGTATTGCTTTGATTAGATTCAAATTTTGTTGTTTTTGTAATATATATTGGCGTATATTATTTAGTTTTGTGTCTTATTGCGAACCATTGATAAATTAATAACTATTCACAAATCACATTTCATATATTTTCATTAATCAACTAATGTAATGCATTCTTGTTTAGCTGCTTCTAGAATATAGTTCTAAGTTTCAAACAAGTTTGGTCACGAAGCAAGAAAATTTTGTAATATAGTGACAAATGCATTCTCCATATGAAAAACCTAAGCCGATCTTTTGACAAGCTTCACTCTTCAAAAGACTCATAGTACAAATTCTCTTAAGACACAAACCATTAAACGACAGAAAGCTTAAATCATCGATAAAGCTCCGTAGATCTTTAAGAATAAGAACGAGAACAGTTTTGATAATTATAAAACTGTATTTTTTATTTAAACGTACACCTAAATATGTACTTCATTATATGTATGTTCATTGTAGATCAGGATCAATATCCGTTGAACGTCGCGATCTCAAGAACTATAAAAGCTAGAAAGTTGTGATAAGGCACAAAAACGCCTACAAGCCGCCCAAAACTACCACGCCCACAATTATTTTATTTCATTTTATTATATTTCTTATCGATATGCCGAAACGAGTGCCAGAAATTTCTCGTTCGCGCTAAACACAAATGTAAACAAAAAGTCGTTCTTGAATGCTAGACTGCTTGATACACTTACAACAGTTTAATAAACCATTCTTTAAAACCATTCGCACAGCACACCAACACATACATATGTAAGTCGTCTCAACAATAATATTAGGCAAAATATGTGAAATGTGTATATATTTAGCTAACCATGGAAGCTTCATAAAATTATTTATTTAGCCACCCAAAAAAAGAAAGAGTAAATCGGATGACGAAATCGTGGGTAAAGAAAAATCAGCTGTGAGTCGAAACATCGAAGAGCGCTTAGTAAGTAAAAACGCAGAGGTAAACAGACAGTTAACTGGCATATTTTGTATCAGGTTTCTGTCTGCTGGTCGCTGTAATACTTATGATAAGACTTACGCAAATGGATAAAGGATCCCTAATTTCAAAGAGTGTTATCCTACCAAACAGACATTGTGTTTCAGATTTTATTTAGAAGGAGCGGGATTCTAGAAACCGGGGGACCAAACTAGTAGCACGTGGAATGCAGCATTGTGGAGAGAATAAAACGAGTACGAAAATGATATCCAGAAGAGAGCATTGGCAACATGGCAATAAATAAGAGTGCACGCCAGTATAACGCTTCATTCAGTTATCGGACTTTGCGCAGTGCAGACACGCGTATAATGTGCGGAATTTTTTCAATATTTTCGAAGGATGGGGAGCCGATACCCACGCAAATCATCCACGGCAGCAAACACAGTCTAAGGGAACTGGCCTATCGACAGAGTGGAAAGCAGCGGCATCGTGGTCCGGATTCCACAGGCGTCTATGTGATTCCCTCGGACGGAGTGGCCATGGTTCATGAACGCCTGCGAATTGTGGGCGTGGAAATGGGCGATCAGCCCTTCGTCTCTGATGATGGCAACCTCATCCTGGTGGCCAACGGAGAGATCTACAACTATTTTGAGATTTCGGCTGAGATTGCAAAAAAACGTGGCTCCTACAGCCCGAAGAGCGATTGCCACGTGATACTGGAACTGTACCAGGATTACGGAAAGGATCTTCTGCATTACATCACCGGCATGTTTGCTTTTGCCTTGTACGATAGGAAGACCAAGGAAGTCCTTATTGCCCGAGATCCCTTTGGCATTATACCCATGTATGTGGGTGAGGATGCGTCGGGAAACCTTTGGGTGGCCTCGGAGATGAAGTGCCTGGTGGATACCTGCTCTAAGGTGGAGACTTTCACACCTGGCGAGGCTCGATTCGGTAAAGTTGGTGACCTTAAAACATGCTGGCAGTTTCAAGAGTCTTGGATCAGGGAGGTGCCCACCCAAACCTGCGATTTGGCCCTACTGCGAGCCAACTTGGAGTCTGCGGTGCGAAGTCATCTGCAGTGCGATGTTCATCTGGGAGCTCTGCTGTCCGGCGGAGTGGATTCCAGTCTTATAGCCTCCATAGCCACGAAGATAATGCGCGAAAGGGATCCCAACTTCCGACTGAAAACCTTCTCTGTGGGTCTGAAGGATGCGCCCGACTTCCAGGCGGCCAGGAGTGTGGCCAAATATATAAACAGCGATCACAAGGAAATTATATTCGAGATCGACGAAGCTCTGGATGGCATTAGGGATATTGTCTATCACTTGGAAACCTATGATGTGACCACAGTGAGATGTAGTTTGCCCATGCTGTTACTGGCTAGATATATAAAGAGCACCGGCATCAAGATGATCCTCTCCGGCGAAGGAGCCGATGAGATCTTTGGTGGGTATTTATACTTCCACAAGGCCCCAGGCTATAAGGATTTCCACGAGGAGCTGGTGAAGAGAGTGCGCCAGCTGCATTTATCCGATTGCTTGCGGGCCAACAAGGTAGCCATGGCCAAGGGAGTGGAGCTGCGAGTGCCCTTTCTGGACACGGGCTTTGTTAACCATGTGATGCAAATCCGACCGGAGGATAAGATCCCCGGGCCCCTCAACAAATTCGGGGAAGAACAGAAAAAGCGATTGGAAAAGTATGTCCTGCGAGCCGCCTTTGCGGATAACTATCTGCCCGATGAAGTCCTCTGGCGCCAAAAGGAACAGTTCTCCGACGGGGTGGGATACGATTGGATCGACAGCATCCGCAGGGTGGCCACCAGCCATGTCAGCGATGAAGAATTCGCCGGAGCCGTCCTACGGTTTCCTTTCAACACGCCCACCACCAAGGAGGCCTTCTACTATCGCTGCATTTTCGCCGAACAATTCCCCGGAGAATCGGCAGCCCGAACCGTAGTCAGATGGGTGCCACGCCTCGATTGGGGCTGTCCGGAGGATCCATCCGGACGGGCACAGGCCGTCCACCAATTCAACGAAGACTGATAAGAAGACCTTCAGTAAATTAGTGTAGTCTGAGAAATTCCAATCAGCATGCACAATAAATTTATTCAATTGGTAGTCAACTCGAGATGTTTTCAATTCACTTATTTATTCATTTATACTTAAATTTACATTGCGATTCGGTGCATCTGTGGGTGTTCGTTTATCCTGATCACGACACGTGCGCCCCACTTGACAACAAAGTAGGAAGCCAATTAAATTTGTTATTTAGTAAATAAAACTGTCAATCAAGTTCATTTAGACGGGTTTCAGTATGGTACTGAATTAAAATTTTGATTTATTGAGAGCTTAAGAGTTAGTGTTCTTAATAGCATTAAATAAATTGTAACTTAAGGCATATGAAAAATCTTTCGTTACACATCACAACTGCTTTTTTACTTTATTTAGATTTTGGACAACGACTGTTAAATTGTTTTACATTTAGTTGGCAACGCGGTATAGCAGTGCAACAGTCATTTTACAGTGTAGTTGGCAATACGCCTCAGTATATTTTGAAAGAGTAATATATATGGACACCTAGCTCCTCATACTCATAGGCATATTATCACTTAATTAATTCATATATAAAAATTAATAAAATTATTGAATGTATAAGCAATCTACATATGAAAACATCATTAATCGATAAGTCCCAGTGAGCGGCATAGTGGCGTGTGCGCGCTGTCCACGTGCGGTCACACTGTTTGTAAATTTTTTTTGCAACGCAACGGGCTGGCGAAACGCTGCTGAAATTAATATAGAAACCGTGTAATATCCGCAAGCCGTGGCAAAAACAGCTCACCGATGCCGAGACGCAGCAAAATGTGATATTTGCCGGGTGCTGCAAACGCTCGGCGACCGCAAGCGAAGTGCAAGACTTGAAACCTCTGACCCGAAGCGCGTCACCCACTAGAAGGAGAGAGCGAGACGACAGAAAAGAGTGACAGAGGCAGGGAGAAAAACTAGCGCTGGCCCCAAGACGTTGGAATTTTGTGAATTGTTGTTGCTGCAGCCCAGCAATAACTGTACAGAGGACAACAGTAGCAGCAACATATACAACAAATAGGAATGACAAAGTGAAACTGACTGCGTTGCCCCACAAACAAAGGCCACAGCAATAACAATAATAACAAAACAAAACGAACTAGGAAGAGCAAAACTGTGATCTCTGCTTAACTTTTTTTATTTTTGGGGGCAATTGTTCAATTTGGCTGTGCTCAAAAGTAAATTAAGTCAACTCGTTACGCGTATTTGCGGTGTTTGGCAACGCTTTTTCCAACCGACGACTGGAAAATCAATTCTTCGGATTGCCAAAGGGCAAAAACAACTAGCAGTTGTTGAAGTTTTCTTATATTTTTTGTGGCCCAGCCCAAAACAAAAAACAGAGTAAAAGAAGAAGAGAAAGAAGAAGAAGCAGCGCAGCCGGATTTGCAAATAGGTATGTGTGTGTGCGTGTGTGTGAGTGCGTATCTTGAAGATACAGAAACAAAATTGTGTTAAATTAAGACACTTTTCCGGTCTCCCCTCTCTTATACTCTCTTTTCGTGACATTTAGCCGCTGAATGACGTCGTCGCCGGCAATTTTTCAACAATTAAAAGAAAAAAAAAACAAATTTATCAGACCACCACAGCTGCTGGCAAACATTTTGTTAGGTTAATTTTAACCTCGAAGACCAGCACTTTGATTAGCAAGTTCATATCTTATCGCCGCGAAAAACCCTGAAAAATAGTTACGAAAGCAAGTTTTGTTGATGTTTTATTATAAATAGAACATTGCGTATGCAAATGCTAATTTTTTAGTGGATTGAGAACCGATTCTCTACCGAGTTCTCGCTCTTCATCACTCTCTCAACAAGTCGCTGTTGTTGCTTAGTAATTTGGATATATTATCTCATTCTGCCCCTTCCATTTTTGCACAGAAAGAAAAGTTTATAACCATTTTGGATCATAAATGTACAAGCTTTGAATAAATATTGTTGGATTTTGCTAAGAATATTTGAACTTAGCTGAACATTATATAAAATTCTTGCCAGCCATTTAAAAAATCATATTATTTTGCAGTGCACATACAAAATATTACTCTGCGAACGCAAATTGTTGTTTTGTGACGACATCGCGCAATGCCAAAAATGTTGCCATTCAAATTCGAATTCAATTCCGAATCCCCATATATAAATCCATAGACAGAGCACATTGTTTCCTGTCGGCCATCCCCTTTTCCCCTGACTTCGTCACGCTCTCAGCTCCCTGAGATGATTCACGTTTCGTGCACGTAACAACGCCCCACCATCTGGGTGTCCGTATCCCCCGAAAGCTACCTCTTCCCCTTCATACCCCTGAAACTCTGACAGTCAGGTATCCAAGTATCAATGCAGCCGCATATCCATATAGCCATGTATCCATCCACCCGCATAGCCGTTCACCTACTTTTTCAGCTCTCTTTGGGGCTCGGCCCACTCCCCAACTCTCTCATTTTATCGCCATTCTGGCTCTGACTTCACCTCACACGCAAATTGTTGGCCAACTAACTAAGGCTGTTGCCGCTTTTCGGAGCTCTACTGCGCACGAGCAGAGCGCAATTAAAATGCGATTAATGAGGATGTACAGGAATTGGCGGGAACCTTTCTTCAGGAAAGATGGAGCATTAAATTGGTCGTTGATTTGCAGTTCGTTGCCTTGCTATGTAATTTCAATAAGAGTTAACACAATGTAAAAAAATGGTAAACAAAAAAAAAAAAAAAAAAAAAAAACTTACATGTCAATGCTTTCAATAAAACTAGTTTCATTTGTACCCGTCGAAAACATTTTACACGCCGCTCCGAAACCTGGTTAGTTTTCGCCATCAATTTCACATCTCATAGCCATTCAGTTTTATTGTATCTGCATCCTTGCGCCAAAATTTTACTCATGCAACTTTAATTTAATTTGACAAAGATTGCACCTGCATACACTAACACCAATCCTGATTTATTACAGTTGCCGCAAAACGAAGGACGAATAGAGACCTGGAAAGATGGCCTATCGCAAGCCAAGCGATCTGGATGGTTTCATCCAGCAAATGCCCAAGGCAGACATGCGTGTGAAGGTGCAGCTCGCTGAGGATCTGGTGACATTCCTCAGTGATGACACAAACTCGATTGTCTGCACGGACATGGGCTTCCTTATCGACGGTTTGATGCCATGGCTGACGGGCAGCCACTTTAAAATTGCACAAAAGTCCCTGGAGGCGTTCTCGGAGCTAATCAAGCGATTGGGCAGCGATTTCAATGCATACACAGCTACCGTTCTGCCACATGTGATCGATCGGCTGGGAGACAGCAGGGACACAGTCCGCGAGAAGGCTCAACTTCTGCTGCGCGACCTCATGGAGCACCGAGTGCTTCCACCCCAGGCGCTCATCGACAAGCTGGCCACCAGCTGCTTCAAGCACAAGAACGCCAAGGTGCGCGAGGAGTTCCTCCAGACAATAGTGAATGCTCTCCACGAGTACGGCACCCAGCAGCTTAGCGTACGCATCTATATACCGCCAGTTTGTGCACTTCTCGGAGATCCCACAGTTAATGTGAGGGAGGCGGCCATCCAAACGCTGGTGGAAATCTACAAGCATGTCGGAGATCGATTGCGCCCTGACCTGCGTCGCATGGATGATGTGCCTGCCTCGAAACTGGCTATGCTGGAGCAAAAGTTCGACCAGGTCAAACAGGAGGGCCTACTACTACCTTCAGCCCTTAAAAACACCAATGGCAATGGAGTTGGCTTGGACGAGGCCGACAATATTGGTTTGAGAGAGCGACCCACCAGGATTATTAAGCGGCCACTACACTCGGCCGTTTCGTCAACACTGCGCGCAAAACCCAGTGTGAACGATGTGACCGGCGATGCCGGCGCCGTAACCATGGAGTCTTTTGAATCTAGCTTTGAGGTGGTCCCGCAACTGAACATCTTCCACGCTAAGGACATGGACGACATCTACAAGCAAGTACTAGTGATCATCAGTGATAAAAACGCGGACTGGGAGAAACGTGTGGATGCTCTCAAGAAGATCAGGGCGTTGCTCATTCTCAGCTATCACACACAGCCGCAGTTTGTAGCTGTCCAGCTGAAGGAACTGTCGTTGAGCTTCGTGGACATCCTCAAGGAGGAACTACGGTCACAGGTGATCCGCGAGGCGTGTATCACCATCGCGTACATGTCGAAGACACTGAGGAATAAGCTAGATGCCTTCTGCTGGAGCATTTTGGAGCACCTGATTAATTTAATACAGAACAGCGCGAAGGTCATTGCATCAGCTTCCACTATAGCCCTGAAGTACATCATTAAGTATACACATGCGCCAAAGTTGCTCAAGATCTACACAGACACTCTGAATCAATCAAAGTCGAAGGACATAAGGTCCACACTGTGTGAGCTGATGGTGCTGCTCTTCGAGGAGTGGCAGACGAAGGCGCTGGAAAGAAATGCCACCGTACTAAGGGACACCTTGAAAAAATCCATTGGCGATGCAGACTGCGATGCACGCCGCCATTCCAGATGCGCCTATTGGGCTTTTAGGCGTCACTTTCCAGAGTTGGCAGATCAAATATATGGAAGCTTAGACATAGCTGCCCAGCGCGCATTAGAAAGGGAACGTGAGGGCGGCGGAGGAGGAGGAACTGGGGCTGTACCCGAAACTAGACGCACTGTATCTCGCATTGGCCGAACCCCTGGAAGCTTACAAAAGCCCACGCCCAGTATGAGATCCATTTCCGCGGTGGACACAGCAGCTGCTCAAAGAGCCAAGGCTAGGGCGCAATATACACTATATTCCAGGCAAAGGAAACCTTTGGGTCCTAGTAATTCCAACCAGGCACCTATGACAGGAGCAGCGGCCAGTGGATCACTGCCCAGACCTCGCCTGAATTCCAATAGCGGTGGCACACCAGCTACCACGCCAGGATCGGTTACACCACGGCCCCGAGGACGGGCAGGAGTATCTCAGTCACAGCCAGGATCACGATCCACCTCGCCAAGCACAAAGCTGCGGGATCAGTACGGCGGTATTAGCAATTACTATCGTGGAGCTACTGGCGCCATACCTAAAAAGGCCTCTGGAATACCCAGAAGCACAGCCAGCTCTAGGGAAACGAGTCCAACTAGGTCTGGCGGTGGCCTGATGAAACGAAGTATGTACTCTACAGGATCGGGATCTCGACGTACGCCCGAGAGGAACAACCCAGTAAGACCCTCAGCGGCGGCACGACTGCTGGCGCAATCTCGTGAAGCAGAACATACATTAGGCGTCGGAGATGATGGCCAACCGGACTATGTTTCTGGGGACTACATGCGCAGCGGCGGAATGCGAATGGGCAGGAAGCTCTTGGGCCGTGATGAGTCCGATGACATCGACTCCGAGGCTAGTTCTGTGTGTTCAGAAAGATCTTTTGACTCCAGTTACACTAGAGGTAATAAATCGAATTACTCACTAAGTGGGAGCCACACCCGCTTGGACTGGAGCACGCAGCGGGCGCCATTTGACGACATCGAGACTATTATCCAGTTCTGCGCATCGACGCATTGGTCTGAAAGGAAAGATGGCCTGATCAGCCTCACACAGTATCTGGCCAATGGAAAGGAGCTCACTCAGCAGCAGCTTCAATTCGTTCTGGACATGTTCCGCAAGATGTTCATGGATACACATACCAAGGTGTACTCGCTGTTTTTGGACACGGTCACTGAGCTGATTCTGGTTCATGCGAACGAACTGCACGACTGGCTCTTCATCTTGTTGACGCGGCTGTTCAACAAACTGGGCACCGATCTACTCAACTCGATGCACAGCAAGATTTGGAAGACCCTACAGGTGGTCCACGAATATTTCCCCACGCAGTTGCAGCTTAAGGAACTATTTAGAATCATCTCGGACTCCACTCAAACGCCAACTACCAAGACGCGCATCGCCATTTTGCGATTCCTCACGGATCTGGCCAATACATACTGCAAAAGCAGCGACTTTCCCAGCGACCAGAGTCAGGCCTGCGAGCGGACGGTCCTAAAGCTGGCCCAGCTGGCGGCGGATCAGAAGTCGATGGAGCTGCGCTCCCAGGCTAGAAGCTGCCTGGTGGCCCTGTATAACCTGAACACCCCGCAAATGACCCGGCTACTGGCCAACCTGCCAAAGGGATACCAGGACTCTGCCCGCTCCTGCATCCAGTCGCACATGAGGCGGCAAAGCCAAAGTGGCAATTCGGGTGCCAATTCGCCTAGCAGCTCTCCACTGAGCAGTAGCAGCCCCAAGCCTTTGCAAAGTCCCTCTGTGGGTCCATTTGCCTCGCTGCAGAGCCACCACCACCAACTTAGCCTCAGCTCTACTAGTCCGCGCTCGCGACAGTCATCTGTGGAGCAGGAGCTGCTCTTTTCCTCGGAGCTGGACATTCAGCAGAACATTCAGAAGACGTCGGAAGAGATCCGGCACTGCTTCGGCGGTCAGTATCAGACGGCGCTGGCGCCCAATGGCTTTAATGGACACCTGCAGTATCATGATCAAGGTCAACTGGATTCATGTGCCTCCCTGTCTTCCAACTCCAAGACGCAATCGTCGGCCAACACCACCCAGTCGAATACACCCGAGTCAGCAACTATGAGGCTGGATAATCTGGAACGGGAAAGGACCAATCAGAATGCCAAGTCCCCAAGTGGCGATGCCAAGGTGACCACCGTCTCGATAAATATGGCGGAGAACGGAGAGCTAATACTGGCCAGCAACCTGATGGAGAGCGAAGTTGTGCGTGTGGCCTTGACGCTAACAAAGGATCAGCCCGTGGAGTTGCTTCAGACGTCACTCACTAACCTGGGGATTTGCATCAAGGGCGGAAACTGTGAGCTGCCCAACAAACACTTTAGATCAATCATGCGAATGCTTCTCAACATTCTGGAGGCGGAGCACACCGACGTGGTCATCGCCGGCCTGCACGTGCTCAGTAAGATAATGAGGAGCAACAAAATGCGTCACAACTGGATGCACTTCCTGGAGCTGATCCTGCTCAAGATCATCCAGTGCTATCAGCACAGCAAAGAGGCTTTGCGAGATATCGACTCGATGATACCAAGGATAGCACCATCTTTGCCGCTGGACCTGTCCATCAACATTGTCAATCCTGTGATTGCGACGGGCGAGTTTCCCACGAATTTGTGCGCCATCAAGATCCTGCTGGAGGTGACCGAACACCATGGCTCGGAGATCACTGACGCTCACTTGGATATTGTGTTCCCGAACCTCGCGCGATCAGCGGACGACACGCAATCGATGGTTCGCAAAGCGGCGGTCTTCTGCATCGTCAAGCTGTATTTTGTTCTGGGCGAGGAGAAGGTCAAGCCGAAGCTTTCAGTGCTGAATCCCAGCAAGGTGAGGCTGCTCAACGTGTACATCGAAAAGCAGCGGAACTGCATCAGTGGCGGCGGAAGCTCCACAAAGAACTCCTCCGCGGCATCGTCGTCATGATTGCGGGAGCCCTTGATAGGATTCCTGCATCAGCACCACCACAAACAAGACACGGACGCAGATGCTTCCCTCGGCCTGAGACGGAAGTGAGGAGCGGCGGACATTAAACAATATATATATTACATTAACTAATTATTACCGATGATCCGATACTTGTGTAACTATTCGATGCATATATAAAGCAGATGCAAACGAAAGTCAAGGGCCATCGCCCTTCTAGTGTGAGCAGAAAAACTATTTATACATGTACGGGAACTAAAGCGATTAAATCAGCAAATTGTACTAAAATTGTAGCCAACTCCGCACTCCTCACCCTCTTATGTCCTATATCCTCAATCACTCAGTTGTATGTCTTTTATCAGCTCCTAACTATTAACGCTGGTTCTGTTTAGGTTGTAAGTCTATATACCGCTCTTTTTGGAACCTCAGACGTGTGCTTTTCTACTTTAGTTCCAGGCGACTTTGTATCCTTATTTCGTTTCCGCTCAACTGAATTCTAATTACTATTATTAATACGATTCTGCTCTTACAACTGAACTATTTTTGTAATTAATTTAAACACACAAACCCACACAAAAGATTAAAAACAAACACTTATAGGTTATGTAATAATATTTATAAATTAATTAAACGAATAAAACAGTTAAACAAAAGTCCCAAAATACATAATGAAAACAACATGCCAGCCTTTTGTTTGCCATCAGTTTTGCGTGTTTTATTTCATAAAATTCAAACTTTTAAATAATTATTTACACACGTACTTAACTATACTAAATAGTTGGTTTATTCTGTTTCCTTATCTGTTCATTTGTTGAAGACATCCAAATAGTTGGCCTAAGATGTCAGCGCTACAAGTTTTCATAGCTTCTTTTTTTCTTTTTGTTGGTGAGAGGTTTCTTTACATATGACCTAGTTTCTTTAATAACTATAAAACATTTTTGAATGTCGCTCGATGTGTTTGGATTTTATTTCCGTTTTTGGTAGTTCGGTTGTTTTTCTCTTCATTGATTTGTTCGATTTGCATTTGAAATTTTGTTGGGCCCCTTTGAAACCTGAACTTGGTTGTTTCTCTACAAGTAAATCATACAAATTCGTTACGTTTCTTTGTTTACGCCAGATATTGGAAATCAATTAAAGTAAATTAAGGCACTTAATACAACAATGAAATCGATTAGAAAATTAATAAGTTGTTAGTAAATCGGTAGAAAACAAATCAATTTTTCCAAGTACAAATTAGTGCGGTGGTTCGAGTGTGTCTCTATATGGGTGTAAATGTATCCGTGTGTGAGTGTTTTTGTGTATGTGTGCGTCAGTGCCCTAGACTAAAATGAACTGCATTGCTTTAACATTAACTATCTGGCTTTAGATTACCGTAGCTAATCTTTAATTTGTATTTGTATTGTACATAAATTCCTAAATTATGGTGTTTTCAATTAAATATATTTTTCAATGGCACATCTATTTGCTATATGTACGATTTTTCGCTCTGTTTTACTTTACTTATTTTTGGGGTGATATCCGAATTTTGAACCCTCAAAACAAAGGTTTCCAATCGGAAACGGTTCTCTATGCGATTTTTGAATGTTAATTACTTTCACGTAGAAGTTGAGAACAAATGTTCCCGAACTCCTGGAGGCCTTGAAAACTTTTAGATCCAATTACCAAATGTTTGACTAAACCTAGAGTTACATATACGAAATGCATTCTTATGTACAGTGGGACAAGATTTCGGCTTACATTCTGGATCGATTTAAAACACATTCGATTTAAAATACCTTGAACTACTTAATTAAATATTCATGTACATGTATATGGTGTTGCTAACAATATTTTGGCTTCTTGTTTCCTTTGGTTTTTCTACGTTTTCTATATTTCTTGTGATAAATTTTGACCGCACTCATTGCTAACAATGCCCCCCTCAACAACAACTCTTAGGGGGATACATTTCCTAATTTTGACCGAAAAAGGCACACACAGAGAATATCGAACGACAACGACTACAACAACACTAACCCTAATCTATTTGTGATCCGCTCGATATCGGTGGACCGTATCTAATAGCCGTTGCAGCGGATTTCCCCGTAGCGAGCTCTTGGTCTTCCGGCTCCATAAGCCGCGTATCGCTCATACGCCATGTAGTCCGGTACCTCGTAGCCGAAGTCTCGCATTCGGTTCCTTGGATAGCCGCCTTGAATCTGCTCCTCATACGGATAGTAGTTGTGTGTGGCCATGGCCGGGGACGGGGACTCGATGTAGCCGCCAGCTGGGTAAGATGGACAGTTGTTGGGTGCACTGCCTGCATATTCCTCTGCTAATCGCTCCACTAGGGATTCCGGTGTTTGCAGGAAACGCTCGGAGAAGCGACCTATTCCGGTGGAGCCAAAGGCCTGCAGGAATCCCGGTAAAGGCTTGATGTCCTGTTGGAGTTTCAAAGGTATTAATTAGAACAGATTTTGAAATGATGTAGCAGTATTGTATGAATATAAACGAACGAATATCAAAAATTTTAACAAAAATGTATTTTAAAGGGTGTTTCATTTTCGAACTAATAATCAAGAACAGAAAATGCTGCAACAAGAAAGTATTTGCTCACCCTAATTTGTTCCCTAACAATCGGCTCCACAGCCTCCATATTCTCGCTCTCCCCCACTTCCTTTTTGGCCGACTTCCGTTTTGATTTCTTGCTCGGAATGAGATCGCACTCGATGATGCGATTGTTGCTGCTGCGATTCTTTCCAGATGTGGCGCATCGCTTGAGGTTGCTAGCCTGCTGCTGATGTTGCTGCTGCTGCTGTTGCTGCTGCTGCTGCTGCAGCAGGTGAGCCAAGGCGGGTGGCACACTCGCATTTTGGGCAAAACCAATGGGCGAGTTCTGTGGTGCCGGCGGAGTGCGCGGGCGCCGCGGCTTTGGACTCCAGTTGTTCGTCACAGGATGTGGCTGCTGTCGCTGTTGCAAGTGGAAAGCACAAAAATCGATATAGTTTTTTCCAAGCCGTTTTGCAGCGGCAAGTTGTTACGCTCAAGTAGTAGTACTTGAACAACTTTGCTGCCAGTCTCCCCACGGACTCTACACCCCACTATCATCCCCATTCCCCGCCAGCTGGCAGCTCGTGTTACCAGGCAACCCTCAAAAGAGCCACCTCCTCCTTTTCCGAACCAGCTCCAATCCTACCAGTCAGCTAGCCAGCCATCCAGACAGCCGGGTGAAGTTCACCGTAGCGCCCCAAAAATCAATAGGCGCCCCATTTTATGTACGGCTGGAGCACCCTGTAAAAAGGCTTCCGGCCGTGGTTCTCTCCATTCGAGAGCTTTTCCCGTGCTTTCTCTCAAATTTTACGGACTGCTCCCTCAGACCTTTTTATGAGTAAAGCCGGTCGATGGAGCTAAACGCATTTCGCCTTTGGCCTTCTCTTTTTTGGCCAGGACTAGTGATGAGTGTGGGCTGCTGTCATTATCAGGCTCTGGTCGCTCGCCTGCTTTGGCCTAATTTATCCCGTCAGTATGGCAGGATACCATATTGCCTCCCTCATTGCCTCCTAATTATACCGTTTATATATCCGCGCTGCACCTGCAGCTTTAATTTGCAATTTTTCCCGCCCGCGCTAATTCGATTCCATCCACCACTTACCGCATGTCCTGGCCTCTCGTCGGCCGCCTCGATTATTGGATCACCACTAGTATCCTGCGGCGTCGTCGGCGCATCCGAGGTTGCTGATGAGTCCGGCTGCAAATTAGTTTCCGCACGCTTGACAACTTCCGATGGAGTGGGCGCTGTGGGCTTCACCTTATCAGCGGCCACTGGCGACGTGGCGCTTATGTCATCTGGAAAATAAGTAAAGAAATTTGTTGGAGAAGGCTGGGACAAAAAATTAATCAATAGTTGTGAAATGATGGAAATCCCTTTTCCTTGCTTATTTTTGCGCAATTCTGGAGCTCTAATTATTTTGTCATGCGTGCAGGCGGACATCAAGGGTTAAAAACCAGGCCCAGAACATTGACCATTCAACGAGGAATCGAGGGGCTTTATCGCACACGCTTATCAAATCACATTTCCCGAGGCCAGCAAGTGAGAGAGTGGGAGAGAGAGAGCGAGAGCGATAGCGATACCAAGTCCTGCACTTGTTGAACGTGGCTAACGCACACATACACACCGCCCCATGCACCAACACCAGCAAAAGAGCGGAGAGTGAGCACGGAGGGACATCAACAAAAAGTGTAGCGCACTTCTCGGCGCATGCGACTCTGCTGCAATGTTTACGTATTTCCATCGGGTTTGGCCAATGTTTTGGACTTTTCCTAGTATGGCAGTAAATGCAATGTATTTGATGCATTCAATGTGATATTCCTAAAAATAATTACTCCCTAAATATCACGGACCTACTACCGGCATTAGTTGCCCTAAATGTTCACTTTGAAGTTAGTATCCTAACCTTAGATTTTAAAAAGTTAATTTATGAATGAATTAAATTTAACTTAGCTGCCTAGCATCTAAATTTCAGTTATTATAAAAGGGCATATCCCCTGTTTGCATTCTTTTTTTTTTGCTGCACTTTATTTCACATAACCGACATTGATTTTTGCCTCCATATGGTGGCTGAAATCGGAGGTTGAGAATGAAGTCAAATTTGAACCCTGGCTATTGCACCAGGGAGCTGTTCCTATTCCTGTTTCTCGTCTTGTTTCAGGGTGTCACTGGTTCCTCCCTTGATTAATACACACAAAAAAATGCTGATTCTGATTCTGATTTTCAACGCTACTCGAATATAGTGGAAAATATAACTTTGAAAACCTAACAGAGTTCTATTGATTTAAATACTTAGCATTCATCTTGTATTAGAAGCTCTCAAATAATCTTATCTTTTTCTTCCGTGCATGTGTTTGTGGGTGTTTGCCTGTTTTTTGCCGTCTGTGTGGGCAGCTTGACTAACGGTAGTAAAGCGGCAAAAGCAGCGGCAACCACCGCATTACGCTGAAAAGTTCATTTACATGCTGGCTGTGCTGACATTTAACGCGCACACAGATGCCAGAAAGACACCCTTAGATATTGCTGTGTGGGTGTGCTTGTGTGTGAAAGTCAAACGCCCATTGATAACGAACCCATAACCCAGGCAAGCACTCCACCAGACTTTCAAAAACGTTACCTGAACATTGGAAAACAGATTTTTGGTATGTGTAATATTTGGTATGTGTAACAGATAATATTTCAATGAATCGGTTATCAAATTTTTATACTAAAACCGAATATATTGAATTTTAGCGAATAAAGTTCCTATTGCTCTAATTTCTCCCAGTGCAAGAAGTTCGTTTGCACTGGAAATATTTAGAGAAGAGCTGTGGGTTCACTTCGCACCTGGTGGGTCATCCGCATACGCAGTTGACTTATTGATTTGCACACACGACAAAAATTTAAAAGCCACACATCGGCGATTCTCGGTTGCTCCTATTCGCGTGCCTAAATAGACAGCTAATTTGAAGTTCTCCGAAGCGCCATGACGTAGGCGCCCTCCAAAAGGCCACCCCACCTCCCATAAAGCCACCCTTTTTGTCGGAAAACGGAAGTATTTCAGCAGTTAACCAACGCTGATTGGTTGAGTGTTTGCAAAACGTCGGCTTGTCAGGCTTCTGAAATATGTGGGTGATTGGAGGGGCTGGTGGCGGAGGAGCCGTTGGAGCCGGTGGAAAACCTGGCGGAAAAGCGCTTCTGATGAGGAGCTTTACGGACGACACTCTGGACACGCTGACAACGATGACGGCAACATGAACGGACAGTTCTTGCATTAATTTGCATGCGGAATCAAGCATAAGGGTATGTACGCACTGTGGGACTGGTTGAATCTACATGTTCCCTCCAAAGTAATACATCAACAAAGTGTTTTCATCATAGGTTCCTTCAATATCTCCGGAAAAATTGTTCTTGTCGCCCTAAAATATATTTCTCTTCAGTCGGACTCCACATAACCCGTCGATTTCGATCCCCACACAGTTCCTTAAATCGCTGATTTCAGCTGAAGTAACTGCCCGCTGCCGACTTGAATACTTGTTATATAATCTTGCCCGACATATGTTTGCATAAATTTCGAATTCTCCCCCGCGGCCGTGCATAATTGCAAATTAAATAGAGTGTAATGAAGGAACGACAGACGAACGACATGCGACGCGATGCGATAAAGAGCTGACAACTTACCGGTAATATCGAGCGGAGTGTCCACCCTTCTCGCTTCCGACGTCACCGGGGGCTGGTGCTCCTCCTCCTCGTAGTCCCGCGCATCCGCCGGACAGTGATAGGGCACACAGGAGGCGGACTCCACGGACATGTTAACCGGATAGTCTCCACTGTAGACGGGCGTGCTCTGGCTACTGTCGCTCCTGGCCCGCGTGCTGCAATTGCTGATGCCGCTGTCCGTTCCGGTGGCACTGATCATGGGCGGCGAAGTGGTCAGCCGCTGAGCGGGTGACTCGGCAACCGCCTCCACTTCGACATCCGGATCCTCGAGCTTTGGGGTTCCAGGCAGCGGGTGATGTTGCAGCTGCTGTTGGCTCAAATGCTGCTGCTGACTGTGGTGTTGCTGCTCGGCGCTGTAGCTGCGCAGCGGTTCCAGATAGCTGGGTGGCAGCACAGTGCGATTTGGAGCTGGCGTGGAGGACCTACCAGGTGGCGCATAGTGGGGCGTTGGGCCCGCAAAGCCGCCGAAGCCACGGGATTGGTATGAAGCGGAAGAACTGTATGGCAAGGGGGCTGGTGGCTCGTAGCCAGGCTGGGATTGCTGCTGCTGCGGCGGTAGCTGCTGGTAGGGATGCGGTCTGGGCGGATAGTGCAGCACGCTGGAGGGGATTATTTGCTGGCCAGCCGGCATGAACATCGCCTGATGGTGCTGGCTATAGTGCGGCGAGGCGTACGGAGCGTACCGGTAGTAGTTGGGCATGTAAGAAGCACCTGCAGAAGACCCATATCCATAGCCATAGGGATGGTAGCCGGTGTAGCCCGATCTGTAGGGCTGCGGCGGATAGTGCGACATCGTCGGATGCGGATGATATGGCGGATGGTGCTGACTATGCTGATGATGCTGATCGTAGAAGCTGGCTGGATATCGATCCGACATGTTACTCCCTGGGACCACTCGTTACTTATTCCACCGCGGCAACTGGAGGCTAGGAGTCGTGAGCCCCATGCCCTGCCGATTGGCCACCATGTCGCTTGTGCCCGGTGTCCTCTTACATGTGGCGCTTTTATTGATTTTTGCCGTTTCGGCCAATCACAAATCCTTCGGCTTCCCTTGCTTCTGTTGTCCTTGTCTGGCCACGCTTGGCTGCCCTTTATTTATGTTCGAATCAATTTTCGCCACACTTGCAGTTTTCTTATTGTCGTCCTGTGAATGGAGCGAAAGAAAGGAAGAGAGCAAGGAGGTGGCTTTATTATCAGTTGGAAATAGTGTGTCCCGTGTGAGTGTTAATGCCACGACATTTGACGGCCCCAAGGAAATGGTAATGCCAATGGCGAGATCGTTAAACAGCAGCCCATGGCAAGGAATAACGAGACAATTGCGCTCAAAGGGCCGCAGACAATTCAATTAACATCGGCCAATAACATTTTATGTGAGGTACATGGTCCTGGGGTTTTGTTGGCCGAGTTACGAGGGAAGTTATGTGGTTTCAAGACTACTTAGCTGACCAGGACTGTCAGAAAAGTAGGGGCATTATGGAGATATTTATCGTCTACTCAAGAAATGTGTGCTCCTTTTATTGCTTCTTTACTTACCGTGCAAATGCAGTAAAATACACTGGTTTCAAAATAATAACGACAATTGAAAGTGCATAAGTAAATGAAGAATATGGTTGAAATCCCATCGATAAATCAAAAGATCGTATTGAATGTTTGAAGCGATCTTGTTAGGCAAGCTCTATGTCTTTCGAAGCCCCCAGATAAATGCCCCAATTGTGGGTCCTTGAGTTTAACTGAGTGCAATCCAGACATTCCATACATGCTAATGAGAGCCAGCTACTCGCCGAATAATTGCCAGCGATGCTATGATGCACGAAATGCGGTTGCCGACTGAAGACTGCTGGGAAATGGGAAATGAATGGCAGGGTCTGGCAATTGGGGAGATGGAACGGCGGAAAGTGTGGTGGAAGTGGAAGGTCCCTGGCCTGGCGGGTGGGTGCATCTCTTGATGGGCCATGCGCAAAATTCCGTTTGTTTTGCACTCACGCACAGGCAGCTGTGGCACCACAACAACGAAACAAACAGCCACTCAACTTATCGAGCGCATCTCCAGCAAACACACACTCGCATACACATTCTTGCACACACCACTCGCACACACACCCTCGCACTCGCATTCAATGAATAACCGCATGCATTTGGGCCGCATGCAAACCGTTAATGAGCCACAAAAGTGCACACATCTGGAGTGGGATTGATAAGGACCTGTGGGTGGGTGGGTGATGCCAAGTCGTCACCAGGCAACCCCGACACGTCTTCCAGCAGCTTCTCTTGGCCACAGAACCACACGTCAGCCGCACAGGACATTACATATCAGCACACACAAATGCTTAACACGCAGGAGAGTATAGTTGTTTAATTAATTACCTCATTATTAACACAACATGGTTGGAAATGGTATTTAGAAGCATTTAGTTTTATTTCAAATGCTGCTTTTTAGAACCTTTCGCCTTTATGTTCAATTATTCGTATATATTTGTGATCAAATCAAATTTTTGAGATCAAATCAAAAGTCCTAATGTTGTTAGGATTGATTATTACATTTTTGTAGTAAATTCAACTGGTTAATATTTACTTATTATATTTATTAAGTGGCATATTTATTTTTTTACTCATATTTTCTTCTTGTCATTATAGTTGAACAATATTTTGACTTAAATGTCCAAATAGAAACATTTCGCTGTGTTCCTCCTTTACTTGTGTGCGCCTGTGAGCGTGAGCTTGACGTGTGCGTTTATTGATTAATAAACTTTTTTGTGCAAAAACACCAGAAAAGGCGAAAAATAATAATTGAAGGCAATCGCTAGTGGGTGGTACGTGGGAACGGGAAGGGGAAGGGGCAACCTTTATTGATTGGAGGGCCCGAGCGAGTGACGTTTCAGATGAGGTTACTGATGATGGCGATGATGATGACGATGATGATGATGATGTCCTGGCAGCAAATTAGCAAGTCAGGGGTGGGCGGACGAGGTCGCAGGACAACTCTATTAGCAAAGTCAAACACGGCTGGCGGAGTGGATAACATAATCAATGTAAACACAAGTTGGTGAGAGAAAGCGAGCCATTAGCCGGCGAAGAGTGAGCTCGAGAGAGCTACAGAGAGATGTATGGGGAGAGAGCTTTCGAGTCCAAAGGGTTAGTTGAATCGAAAACTGGCTGGCGTGAACGAAATGAGCCTCGAAATAAGTCTAGTTAAGCAACTGCAGTCGCTGGGTCCCCAAAAAGGAAGGCAAGTCTGGCCCTTCGCTCTCTCGCTCTCACTCTGTCACTCTCTCCCTCGCTCTGTCGCTGCTACGCTCTTTGGATCCTGCGACAGGAAACGGAAGTTGAGCACGACGGCAGTCGTGTAAATGGATGGATGGATGCTGTGCATGTGTGTGTGCTGGTGGTGCCTCTTTTTGGGACAGTGCGACACAACAGCAGCAGCAACAGAACAGCCTCCCACTCGCCGCCACCGTGTATATATAAATCAATAAAAACAGCAGCCCGAGACGGGGTTTCGCCTCAGCTCTTGCACTGTTTCTGTACATTTTTTTGTTTGCCTCCTCTGCGTACAGAAGTAGCGGCAGTAACCGAAGAAGGAGCAGGACGAGGAGCTGCTGGTGTACACAATCATTACACGGTCCGCGCGCGTCACACGGTGCGTATGTGCAATGTGTCCCGAGCGAAGCGCCCGAATGTATGCAGCGGAATATATAGCGATTTTAATTGAGTATCTGCTCGAAGGAGGAGCGTTTCCAATAAATAAGCGCAAAAATGGGGCAGGACCTTAAGTGTGCGGGGGTTTTCGTAAAATATGCTAGGGTGTAACAATAGATGCTTTTTTGAAAGAAAGTGGCTTGCAATTAATACAAAATTATAAAATAAACACAGATGAGTTGCTTAATTATATTTTTTTATTAAGTAAGGGGCTTCTATAAGCTGTTTTTTGAAAATATACAAACACGAAAGATAATTATAAAACGGATTTGTTTAAAAATGCAGCTCACCACGATTTGATATAATAATAAACATATAACTATAAGCTATCATTTTGAAATATATTTGAAGATCTTTAAAATACATTATTAATTACCTTATCATAGGTGTAAGCCTGTTAATATTATTGGTCGTATTTGATTTTCCACTTAAGCAATACAGATGAAATTGCCGTTGTTTTAAGTTTTTGATTTGCACGTATCAAATACTTTCACTGCGCCAGGTTTCTATTAAAATTTGACGTAATTATAAGCCTCGCCTTTGTATTTGAAAATTCCCCAATTATTTTTCCACCACGAAAAGCCGTTAAATTTGAAATTCTAGTGCCCACACAAAGCAGTTTACAACGGTTCCCGAGAGTGAGGCACTTTTCCGCCGACTTTTCTCTTCGAGGCTCGAGCGGAAAAATCGAAGAGCGACCGGCCCAGAACGCCAAGTGATCGGAGCACGGCGGCGTCACTCGGACGGAGGCCTCAGTTCGGTGCGGAGTCCGCCGTTACGTATACGCAGTGTGTGTGCGACGCGCGCTAAAGTCCAACGTAGACTGAAACGCGATACGTGGGCGCACTGCCATTTATACACCGAAGGCCCCCAAGTTGAAGAAGAAAAGCTGGCAAAAGACACAAGCACCACAGCAAGGAGCAGGCGGAAAGCGGCGAAAAAAATAGCTAGGAAAAACAACACACAGAAGCTGCTGCACTGGGAACTTTGTGACCCGATTCGATGGGCAACCTGCCCACATGCGCGAGCGAGCTTTTCCTTTTCGCCATTTTTGAGGGCGGAAAATGCGCTGCACTTTGCTCTCCCCCTCTCAATCTCTCTTCGCGGCTCTCTCACAAATGCCAGAGTGAAAACTATTCGCTTTGCTTACGAATTAGAGCACAAAACAGAAAGCCAACCAAAACAGAGCGGCAAGCCGAAAGAAATCTAGAACGTGGCGTTACTTCTAAATGGCCGAGAGATTGGCAGTTCTCAGAGAGACAGGGAGTCATAGAGAGCGTGAGTGCGGAACAAATTTTTCGCCAGAGTCCCGCTTGGGGGTTTCCCACGTTCGCTGTGTGAATGAGGTATGTGTTGTGTATAGGCTCGATTTATCGATGTCCGGGCCACGAATTTCCGCCACCGTGCGAAAAACCATAGCACACTTTCCGGCACACTCGTGCTGCACTCCGTCAAGGGATGTTCCGCTTATGGGCCTCCCGCGAACCTGTGGCATTCGGCCAGCCCAACTTTAGATGACCGATAAGACGCGAGGCAGACTGATAGCCACGCAGGTGAACTTTTGGCATTCAAAGGACAGGTGCACTTTCGAAGACGGCTTTTCCAGGCTGACTGATTGCAATATTTTCCAAAATGAAACTAGTTATTCCAAAGTAAACAATTTTATGGGACACGATAAGATATACAGATGTGTTCTAGAGCGTGACACATACCCATTATTATGAATCTTTATTAAAGTAAAATATTTAATTTGGACTATCAACAACATTCTTTTCAGCCTTAAGTTTTTAGATGATTAGTTAATGCATATAAAAGAGAAAATGGAAGACGTGTGCAATAGGAAGGGGTTTTGTTGATCTAATGGTTCCTAACTCCTTCACCAGAAGTGGTAGTTAGTTCTTATAAAAATCCTGGAAGAACATTTTTGGAATGCCTTCACCATCCCCTAATCAAAAATTGGGAGTCCTCTTGCGGCTACGCGCCTGGGCTTAAATTACATGAGCCTTGTGCTGCTGACCACCCACTGCGCATCCGCGGCACTCTCTCTGGCTCTTTGGCCAAGTGCACGTGTTTTTTGCGGTTTTCGCATGCCTGGCCAAAGAGGAAAACCCTCAAAATATTTGTGGGCGAGCTTGGAAAAAACGTAAACAAAGTTTTGTGCGCACGCAACGAAGGAACAGAGTGGGGTAGGATGTGTTCCGCGTAGGTCCTTGTCAGGGGTGTTTCTGCTATTGATTGCGTAGACGACAAACAGGGTGTTGCTCGAGCAGTCTTTACTATGGTATACAATTTAAAACAAATACAATTTATACAAACAAAAGAACCCGGCAGGCAGGCAAGCGACGAAGCCGAAGGACTAGCCGAACCAGTGGGCTCCCATGCAGTCGCGTGTCCACTCAGTCTGGCAGACCCAGCACCACTCGAATCCGCAGCCAGCGCGTGTGCAGACCATGTGCATGCAGCCGCCTGGTGAAATGAGAAGAGGGTTTGGACATGTTACAAACTGCGTCTTGGGTATCTTCGATGCTCGCCTAACTCACCATCTCGCTCCGTGGGGGTTCGGCATTTTGGACAGGGCTTGGTGCTGACTTTGATGGTGACATTGCTGGCCTCCTCCCATCGCGCCTCGGCAGCTCGCTAAAAAAGCGCACGATTATACAAGTGGGAATGACTGGGCCGCATAAGAACCAACTCACATTGGGATCCACGGTGTACTCGCAGGAGTTTTGGGCACTGGCGCCTGTCCCCTCGGGCAGACACTCCCCAATATGGTAGCCCTGCAGGCAATTGCGGCAGAACACGTAGCCACAGCCGTTCTGGCAGGTGACCTTGCGACAATCGGGCTCCACCAAGAGGCCCATGCCGCAGCCTGGCTGGGGACAGAGTACTCCACCTGCCTGTAGGACATACTCCTCGGTGGCGAATCTCTGGTAGCGATCGTACTCCTCGCGTGTCAGCAGCTTGAAATGATGGATCTCCTCGATGAACGAGTGCTCGCAGCCTGCGGGACAGGGCAAGGTGTAGCCAAAGTCCGGATGCGGCATAAACTGGCGCTCGCCCAACCGGGAACGGCAGTAATGGCGGAAACAGTCGATGCAGGTTACGTGCTGCGATGCGCATGGAAAAACCAAAACGGTATCACTGCGAACGTAAAAGGCAAATATATATTTAATTAGTTTTAGATTTTAAAGGAACTTTTTATGCCATTTTTATAAATATGTGCTTCAAAATTTAGCCAAAACATTAATTGTGATTTCATGAAAAGATAGGCAATTAGATGTGCATATTAAAGGACATAAAATAATTCCTGAATTATGGTCATTATAGCTTAATAGCATAATCACCTCACATCTGTGCAGGCCAGGCAAGGGACATTCTTGATGTTGTTTTTGATAAGATTCAAGGGAGCTGCAAAGTCCTTCTCCCCGCCGGAAACATGCTCAGCGCACTTGAAGAAGAACTCGGCGAATGGGGGATCGCCAGCCTCGTTGTCCACGCAGGCCACCTCCAGACTTTCGCAATGACCGGGAATTCTACGCGACTTCAAAACATCATCCCAACACTCAGGATCACGATGGACAGTGAAGGCCCCGCCCTTGCATAGGGCGCAGCGCACCCGAAGTTTGCCATTACACAGCTTATCGCATTGGCTACAATGCACAAAGAAATGTGCTTTGGCACGGACTCTTTCTAGACAGGATACGCGAGGATTACAAGGGGATTAGTTTCGAAAAAATAACTCGTTTCCTACCTTCAGCGCTTATATTTAGACGCTCCTCGCTTTCCAGCTGCAAGTCCAACAGAGTTTCATTTAGCGGCTTGGAGGCTTCTTCACTCAGCGAAGGTTCCTCCTCCTCCAAAGTTGCCGACTGGATTTTTTGGCGCTGTACGGGCGGTCGCAATCGAATGGCATGCAGAATGCTTTGCTGACCCAAGTCACATTGCTACTAGAAGTTCGTAAAAGTTAACTTCATGTTGGAGATACGTCCAATTAGCTTCATACCTCTATAGTTGTGGCATCGCTTAGTTCCTTACCGGCAAATATTATCTTTAGATCATCCGGCTGAAGTCCCAATTGTGGGGCCACCAGTTCTTTTACGTTCTTAATATCCCACTGGGGCTCCAGATTAACGGTCAGCGTTTTGCCCGTGTTCGTTTTCACATAAATACTCAGCGTGTGCGTTAGTGTTTTCCCTCCAAATTGCAACAGCTCCAGCATTTTGCGTACAAAAGTGGCAATAAATTTAAAAATAAAACTCATTTGTTATCAGCTGATCGGAGGTCTAGTTTCAGTGCAGTGTATATAGTTCAGTGTTGCCAATCGTGGTTTACTTACGCGCTGCCAAACACCAGCTGGCAGCCATTCGCAGGGAAACGCGGACACGCAGAAAGCGCACAATTGAAAAAGTCGGAAAAATATAAATGTAAGAGGTGTATGGAAATGTCAGGACTAACTTACAGAGAAATCAATGGCGACATATTTGCCTGCCAAGGTGATTATTCCATGTGCCACTGCGTAGCTGCCGATTTGCGAATGGGCAGAGGAATAGCTGTAAAGTTTCGGTAGGTAATGGTTTAGTGTTTCTGATAAAATACAGAAATACAGTTTTCTCTTTTTTAGCAACAAATTTGGACAGTTGTTAAATTTGCAAAGGCAAAATGTTCAGCCGGGCGGCGTGGCTATCCTTCAGGACCAGCAGCGATATATTTACTATCTGATCACCAAGAAATCCAGCTGGGGAAAGCCCACCTACGAACTACTCCAGAGTTCCTTGATCGCCATGCGAAAACACATGGTATGTGGGCTTAACTATCATCTCTATAAAGTGTAGCATACCATATCCGCACCATACCATATTCGCAGATATCCCACCAAGTACCCAAGTTAGCCATGCCCCGCATTGGCTGCGGTTTGGATGGCCTGAAGTGGCCCAAAGTTAAGGAAATTATTTGCCAGGTTTTTCAAGGGGACGCTGTGGAACTGGTGGTTTATAATTATGTTGCTAAAAAGTAAATGGCACATATGAAACTGAACAATTCCATTATTTCCCCTGTGGCGGCACAAAATTGTAGACGACAATCTCCACTGGTTCTTGGCCGAAAACGTACTCGAGGACTCCGCTGACCTTTTCCCATTCCAAGCCATCAATTCCACAGCCAATTTTTGGGATGGCAAGCTTATCCACGTTGTTTTTGCGCTAATGTATGAAAGAAAAAATGTTGTATTTTTAGTATTGCTTGCTTAACATATATATAAACAAAAGCAGGAATAAATCCCATTAAGACATGTATTTACCATATGCTCGCGCATCTGCTCCAAAGATGCTTGTACAGATTCGTAGGTGGGCTTTCCCCAGCTCTGAGGCTTGGTCACCAGGTAGTAAATATACCGCTGGTCATCCTTCAGCACTGCCACATCTCCACTGCCCGCTTGTTGGGATTTCAGTTCGTCCAACCTTCCGAATACCTTCTTGAACTGCACGGCAATCCCAGCACCCATCGCCAGATCGGCACCCACACAGTGCGCCAAGGAATAGGTCTTTGGGGCGGAGAACAGATCCCCATCTACCTCGCTGAGGGTGTACTGAGGTTTCGATGACATTCCGACCACAAAAGCCCGCCGAAATGCGCCACGTAGTTCTAAAAGTTTGGGAGAATACATTTCGGGTTAATAAAGGTTTTTAGATCTGTCAGATTCAGTGTAAAAGGCAGCTACTATAACTAGGCACTATTCTGAAACCAATAATCATAAAAGGTACATTAAAACTCCTATATTTGGTTAATGTCCTCTCAAGGCCGTGTTTTTTTATTAATACATTAAATTCAGTATAAATACCCAAATATATAAACTCTGTGTGCTATAAAAAGATCTTAGGTGTAGCGTTCTTATTAACTATATAAGTATTTGGTGCATTTGGTGCCACAAGTCCCAAGTAAAACCATTTCGAGTGTCAAACAAAGATGGCTATATACAGTTTTCGATTTCCTTAAAAGGGAGTCTTTTCGCGGTGAAGCGAATTCCGAGATCCGCTGACGGACCTCGATGGCAATTGGATGGTCTTCATGTGCCGGCAGGTGGGACAAACCACGTTCAACGTATCCTTAACCATTTGTGGCGGAGTGTAAAAGAAGGCAATGATGTCCACGCTATCCTCGGCGAAAACCAGATCCAGCAAACTCCGCACGCGCAGCCAATCTAAACGGTCGATGCCGCATCCAAGTCTGGGAATGGCCAACTTGGTCACTCCGTGCTCCCGCTGTATGAGGAAAGATAAACAGCATTTAATATCAGGTACCCAGTTCTAATACATTTTGATGATCTTGATAATGAAGTTTACCCTTTCTATTATTTTTGGTAATGCAGTCCTTAAGGATAAAATTTCTCACCATATGTTCTCGCATGGCCAGCAAAGCGTAGTAGAGAGCTGTGTAAGTGCACTTTTCGTGGCTGCGCTCCTTGGTCACCAGGTTGTAGATATATCGACCATCCTGCTCCAGGACTGCCACGTTCCCGGTATGCTTGTGCTGACGCTTCAGGTCATCCACTTGGCCGAATTTGCAGCGGAATTGCAGATTTATGCCCGCGCACATCGCGAAATCTGCACTCACGGAGTGCACCAAGGCATAGTTCTCCGGCGCACTGAACAGGTTCCCCCTGGCCTCCGTAATCTGACACTTGGGAGCAGCCAGCTGTGGATAATCTGAGTATTACCCCATTGTGCTTTGTTTATAAACCATGTTGGATGGCTCACCTCCTTGGACATGTCTTCGTGCTCACAAATGAGTATCTCGATGGGATACTCGCTCTGGGAGAAGGTCTGCTGCACCAGGCGCTTCACTTGCTTCCATTCGAGGCCATCCTTGCCGCAGCAGATCCGGGGCATAGCCACTTTGGTGATCTCGTGGTTGCGCTGCAGAGACAGTACAGTGAGAATTGCACAATACACAATTATCAAAAGCTATAGTTCGCTAGGTGACGGAGGTTCAATCTTAAAAAAGCTTTTACACCGTTTGTAAAAAAATATTTTAGTACAATTCTGAGGGCTTTACATATACATACTTCTATTTGACGGACAGACGGACCTAGCCAGATTGACTTTGCTACAGATTCTGATCAGGAATATAATCGGTATAGGGTCGGAAACATAACACAACAAAACATACTTCTTAAGGAATCTACCAAAGGCATTAGAATAATTATTCTAATACATATTCTTGCTTTTACTCTACGAGTAACGGGTATCAAAATCTTGTATACAAGATCTTTAGAAACTGACTTTACTTTCTCCTAGCCAAAGATAATATTTTAAAAGAAAATTGCCGTTAAGATGGGTAGATAAATGGTCCGGCAGCTACTGTGTCCCAAAGTCCAAATAAATTAGCTGCATGCATACATATTTCTTGAAATGGTTTTTTGACTGAAATTCGGTTGACAAAAGGGGCGAACTGTTTTCAGATACTCTCTGTATCTCAATGTCCAAATGAATTAACTGTAAATTGACGAGGGCAGCGCCAAAGAAACCCGTTTCCCAAGCGTCGAATTGTATTTACTCTTTGGGGGAAATGTCACTTGCTTACCGGGCAAACCCCACTCCACCACCACCAGCAAGACGGCACTTCAAGAGCACTCACCATATGTTCCCGCATGCAGATCAAAGCCGCCTGGACATCGTCATAAGTGCAGGCGTCGTAGAGACTCGACTTGGTCACCAGATAGTATATGAATCGGGCATTATGCTCCAGCACGGCGCAGTTGCCTCTGGAAACCCTTCTTTGCCGTAGTTCGTCCACATCCCCGTAGATCAGCGCAAACTGCCAGGCGAGAGTTCCGCGTTCCGCCGTAAAGGACGACTCCACGGCATGGGCCAAGGAATGGGTCTGCGGTGCGTGAAATATGTCCAGCTTGGACTCCACTATCTTCACATTCGCCATGCCACACTACACCCTATATTCAGTGTTATATATACAACTGCAATTAGGCGGAAATTATTCTGATTGCCAGCCGAAACCGAAGCTCTCAATGCCAAAAATGATTTTCGTACTTACGTGCACGCGCGCTGGAAACTTTCACGTCGAGGTTGAAACTCGCGATAAAAACTTTTTCGGCTTCGGAATGGTTTTAACTGTGTGTTTTGGTTCTGCACAGAAACCTGCACAAAACCAGAATGAAAACAAAGCTATTAACGGATTCTGAACAGCAAGCGGCTAGTTGGCGGCAGCTTGTTTATTTTGGCGATTCGCCGATTTCCCACTCCCAATTTACAATGCCCGCCGTTGGAGATCACTAATGAATCGACTGCCTCGGCCGGCGGTCTGCAGCGGAATGCGCCATCGGAGCTCGGTGTGGATGTGGGCACGGGTATGGCTATGGGTGAAGCGACGTGCCGGGCGAAAGCCCAGCGAGAATCTTCGAGCCTCAGTGACAACATTTCGCCCAGAGGCGCCGCCGCAGGGGTTCCAAAAATTAATGATTGCACAGTGAAAAAAATACCTAATTTTCCACATAATCAGTGATTTAAAGTTAATGTTTTATTTGCGAATATTATTGTGCTTCGTGTGATGTTAGAAACATGATTTTATCTTTGGTATGCGGAGTAAATTTCCGAAGTTAGATCGATTGGGTCGTTTTCAAACCTAGATTGCTGTTTTTACTAGACTTTTACTATTTGTTAAAAACTTAACAAAGGAAATCCAAGGTTAAAAAAAAAATACTATGATTTGATTATTATGAGATATACTTTATAAGAAGCCCGTTCGAAAACACAAGCCTGTTCTGAATACAGAACATGCACTGAAATTGAATATTGGTCACTTGTTTTTAAATTTCACCGAACTTTTTGGCATGACAATCCAATCCACTGAATCACAACGACGATAGTGATGATGATTGCTGGCGCTGATGATGACATACATGTGCTAGCAAGTGTGAGTTGATACCGCTTTGTTTGTTTCAGCAACAAGTTGACTTGACATCGCCCAAAATCGTCAAAGCCGCTGTAACAGCCAATTAAGAACTTGTGCAGGCTTTTGATAGCGTTTTATAGATTAATGACGACGGATAGTTACCGATCGGAGCACCTGTGTATGAATGTGTACCTGTGCGTGGGCCGCTGTCAAAGGTAATCGGCGCCCATGCGCTAAATAGGGATCGTAGACCGACTACGTTGTATGTATAAATATCAATATGACTTAAATTATTCGTTAATTGGATGGCAGGTGAAATGAAATACACCAACTCACTACCATACACACAAACACCGAACAAATAACCATATTAAGTGACAAGTTGTATTCTAAAACAAACAAATCAGGCAGCAGAGCGGCAGCAGCGTTTCGATTTAGTGTGAGGTAAAAACTTTACACTTTGGTCGATTGCTAACTCGGATGTAGAGAAAAATATTTGCTTTACTAGTTAATAAGGTTAAAACTATTGCCAACATATAGAGAGACTAAGAGATTCCAAGATATAAAAGAAAAATGTAGCTTTACATATACATTCTAAAACAAATATTTAAATTGACTTAAAATGGAGAAAAGTTTCAAAATGCAAATGTGGAAAAAGAGATCACTAGAAACCTTTTTTATAAGGGTCTGCAATGACTGGCAAATTTGAAGACCAGACTCAGCGTGTGGGGTTTAAAAATTCGTTATATATGCAATATTAATATTTTTACAACGTAAATTAAACAGAAAACTATGCAAAAAAGTTATTTATATTGTCATATGCCTATATCATAGAGTATATCCTTTTTATCCAATAAAAGCTTAAATTCCAATTGGAATGACTAGGCGCCAAGATGCGTGGGTAGTTGTCTCCGCTAAGCGGTACTACGTCATCTCAGAATGCCACCAATTATTTGCAGCTTTTCGCAAAAAAAAAGAGAACAGCGAAAACAAATCAATTGCCATGCGTGTAATTCCCTAAATTCCCTAATAGACGTAGTGTTTTTTAAGTAGATATTTTAACAGAGTTTTGAAGCTAAATAACTGCTCGCTTTATAACTCTTTTACGCATGTCCCGCGACAGCTTTGAACGAATGGTTTCATTGAAATTCATACTACGCTTTTCCTCCCCATGGGGGGCACCTTGTGAGGAAAAGCGATAGCTGCGAACGATGCCAGTTCACGGCAGTTCAGCTTGTCGCCTCGAACGATAAAGACGACCGATCCGGGGAGCTATAATATAGCATTATAACGTAGAAGTGGCGCTAGTTGCTGCTGTTGCCGCTGCTGCTGCTGTTGTTGTTGTTGTTGTTGTTGCTTTGTTTGTTGTGCTTATTACGTAAATTGCGTGTTTGTTTGTTAGTTGATTAAAATACTTTACGTAGAAGTGAATTTGTTAGGTGACGACGGCCCGCCAGATTTGTTTTCCTCTGGGCAATTAAACTGCGCGCGAGTAAATCTCCCCGAGAAAACAAGAGCAGCGTTGTGAGTCACTTGAGAATTAGAGAATAACTAAAAAGTGCAAGCGAAAAAGCACCGCTCACACTCGTCACGTCAGCTCAGCTGATTCTGATTGGGATTCTTACTCTTCTCTATCTCTCTCTCCCTCTCTTACTCTCTCGCCATTGCGATACGTAATACACACGTAGCAAACGCTGTGGTTATATTTTTGTGGGTTACGTTACCTTATTTGCCGACATGACTGCGTTGACATTGCTACGACGATCAGTTACGGCGGTCAGCTGCCATGCCCACGCCCACGCCCACGCCCACGCCCCCGTTCGCGGCACGAATTGGCGGTGTTTGCCACAGCTTCAAAGGCGCCAGTTGCACTTGCACGTAAGTGGGCGACATGCTGCTGCGCTTTTGGCCAGCAAAACAACAGCAGCATCAGCTGCTGCAGCTGCGCAGGCGCCAAATGCGCATGCTAATGTTGGCGGTAAGTTCAAAGGCTGTATCTGTGCAAATAGCGCGTGCACTTGGTAATTTATGATGCGGCAGCAGATTCTTGCATCCGATTCATTTTAGACAACCGTAACTAAGTAGAATCGTAGCTTGGCCGAAAATGAGCCAGTTTAACGGAAAACGGTAATAAAGGGATATCTTAAATTCAATACCTCAACCGGTTACAACCGTTCAATTCAATAATATAATTAAATATCTCATCACATCTTAAAATTGCATCTCGCTGATTAAAGAAAAATCTTATATTAATTATAAATTAAACGAATAAATTGAAAAATCAGTCCGACTAAGTTTTAGCTGCCATTTTTAAGGCATAGTACTGAATATCAATATATCAAGTACTGAAATTATTCTTAAATACATTTGTATTTAAGCTCATGACAACTTTTGTTTTGAATTTTTGTTTGTTCTTTTTGGTGGTTACGGTTCTCTCTTCATATTTCAGCCGGTTTTTGCAAACATTTTGTCATAATGACGCCCACACGCCTCGCTAGCGAATTTCCATATCTATCTTTATAATTAAACAAATGCTTCTCCTTTGTCAACACAGCAAAGCCCCGAAAATTAAATGGGCAGGCAGACAAGTGGGTATTCCATAATGAAATGGGGGACTGGCCTTTAATTTACGTTAGAAACAATACATGAAATCGAAGAGCCACTGGGAATGGGAATGCCTTGCATTTCTTACTAATCACAATTTAATAGCCTCATTGAAAGCCCATTAAGACCCACTCTTCCTTTTTATTGCCGAAAGTGAAGCACAATTTAGCAACTGGTTTCACTTCAATTGCCATTTCATTCACACAAGACCCATTCCAAGAGAGCGGATCGATCATTTGTCTGCCATTACTCAAAAAGGTGTTAATGAGCGCACCGAATCGGTCATAATACTTGTTCATCCAAATCCAACAGTTGTTATTACCTAATGTACTCGATTACTCCAGACTGATTGGGGTCTGTTCCCCGAGACTACAAACGTACTTCGGGCTGTAGGCCAGGCCTGATAAGATAACAAGCCCCTGATCAGGCTAGAAATCCCATATGAACTGGTATAATATTAAATAATTAGCAGATGGGGTGTTGGCTATTTTTGTGTTATTGATAAAGTGTACCAAGTAGTGTTTGATCCATTTAAAGCGAAAATGTGTCATTTGGTTGGGAAATAAGTTTGTTATTTTCTAGAATGCTATTGATTTCAGGTTTATCTGGTTAATAACCTATTGAGTGCAACAACTTATAGATATAGTAATATGTAAAAATGTTGTACTTAGAATTTATTTATTTTCCATACTGCATAATTATTTTGTTGCCCATTACATTTTTCTGAGTGGTGTGACTGGATGTCGATAAGATAAAGCTCGTGAATCCATCAACTAAATTGGGCCCTTAGCTGGGTGTTTATGTGCTCATATTTGTCACCCTCACTTTCGTTGTGTAAGGTCAACAAAATTATGTGGATTAAAAAGAAATACGCCCATCCACAACCCCTTCCCCTCCCCCTTTTCGCAGCACCCACCCGCCGAGTAAATGAACTCAAATTGAAATGCCCTAGACCGTCACTCCTCCAACTTGATCACTAGCCATTCATTTCAACGCATCAATTTCCAAGTACAGAAATAAGTTCCACAAGTTCAAGGTCATTACCAGGCACACACAGATACTCAGCCCACAGAGGCAAGCACGAATATATTTGAAATACTCGCACACAAATAATAAATAAGCTAGCGAATAAATAATGGGTGTATATAGACCGCGAGCCCCTCATAATAGAATAAGACGGAGAGACGGCGCCGAAGAAATAGGAAAAATAAAATTATAAACACGTTACACGCGCTAGACTTTTTGAGAGATGACTATATGTATTTATACCGACTATATAACGTTGAGATAGCCTGCGAAAACCCAGTAGAAACCTGACCAAACATAATGCTGATAAGCATATTCGCTCCGAGAATTTCGGGTTTGCCAAAAAGAACAAATAAACAATAGGAGATAGAGCATGTACATATGTATAGACCCCTCCATGGGTTGTTTGCAACCGTCTAGTGTTCTTAGTATGGGTGAGAGATTGCCAGAACAATTAGAAGTCCGCTTGGTCGCCTCCAAGTGTTTTGAACGCTTTCCGTTCAGCTGCAGTCGCTCATACGCCGCGTATCCGAACGCACACGTTCCGCTCTTCGCAATCGACACAGTTCCAAATTCTAAAGCGAGCCCAACCCTCTTGTAGACTCTGTCACCGCATACCGCACCATGTCCTCTGTTGCTCCGAAACTGGTGGCCGTTGCCGAGTCGCGGCGCTTCATGATTGACTGCTTCAAGGCGGTGAAGGTGCCCCAGGCACATGCCGAGGCCCAGGCGGATCTGCTGGTGGCCGCGGACCATCGGGGACACTTCAGCCATGGCATGAACCGCCTGGAGATGTACATCAACGATCTGGCCATCAACTCCACGGACGGAGCGGCTGTGCCCAAGATCCTGAAGGAAACCCCGGCCACCGCCTGGGTGGATGGACTGAATGGACTTGGCGCCGTGGTGGGCAACTACTGCATGGATCTGGCCATCCAGAAGGCCAAGACAGTGGGAGTTGGCTGGGTTTGTGCCAAGGGATCGAACCACTATGGCATGGCTGGTTGGTATGCCATCAGGGCCATGGAGCAGGGCTTGGTGGGCATGTCCATGACGAATACCTCGCCGCTGATGGCGCCTACACGCGCCAAGGAGGCTGCTCTGGGCACCAATCCCTTGTCCCTGGGTGCTAATGCCAACAACGGCGACAAGTTCCTGCTGGACATGGCCACCACCGCCGTGGCCGTGGGAAAGATCGAGATCCAGCGCAGGAAGGGAGCTCCTCTGCCCGACGGATGGGCACAGGATCCCAGTGGTGCCGTGACCAACGATGCGGAACTGGGTTTCAGCACTGGCTGCCTGATGCCCTTAGGAGGATCGGAGCTGACCTCCGGCTACAAGGGTTATGGCCTTGGCGCCATGGTAGACATTCTGACGGGCGTCATGTCCGGAGCCAACTACTCCACTCAGGTGAGGAAGTGGACACATGCTGGCGCCAATTCTGCGGCTGATCTCGGCCAGGTATTCATCGCCGTGGATCCCAACTGCTTTGCTCCCAACTTCGAGGAGCGCATGAGCGATTTCAACTCCCGCCTGCGGGGCGCTACTCCGGTAAGAATATACCCAAAAAAAGTAAATGTAAAATGTCCCTCGACTATCAGATATCCCTTGCTCAACTAGTGGAAGTGCGAAGCAGGAATTTTAGCATTTTGTTGGCATAGCGAGCAAAAATCAAAAAAATTTCCAAAAGCGTGGGCGTTACAGTTCTCCACACAAGTGTTAGTGTGCGCGTGGCCAAAATAAATCGAATCATTAAAATATTTAAATTTAAATATTTATTAAGAATTAGTAAATATTTAAATATTTAAATTGTCATATTTAAAGTATTTAAAGCTTCAAGAAATGTATGATTTTCAACTATTAGTTAATATAAAACAGCTTGAAATACTAGTGAAGAAAGCACTTCATAATCTTATCAAAAATACATTTATATATACATATGTGTATAAAAATAGGTACCGGCACTCCCGTCACCATAATCTTAATCTCTTTAATTGCATTCAATGGGAATGAATTCCAAACAAAAAGTTATAATTTTTAGAAATATTAATACCATAAGCATTTCTATTCCATACATTTCGAATACACTTTTTGTTTTCCTGCACAATTAATATTTCCTTTTTTATTAATAGACCGATCCCAGCAAGCCCGTTTTGCTGGCTGGAGACAAGGAGAAGAATGGAATGGCTGATGTCGATGCCGCCGGCGGCATCCAGTATCTGGAGAATCAGTTGAAGACGTGCGCCAGCCTGGCCGAGAAACTGAAGATCAAGCCCTTGAGCTTTGTTTAAGCTCGAAGGAACTGGTGAACTTTTAGGGAGCCAAGCATACCACATACCATTGCCATATGTTGTATACGCTTCTGCATTTCGACGGACCAAAGCAATATGTTACTTTACACTGAGAGAAATATTGATATTTGCAAAAGTTCGACTTGCACTGGTGCCTATTTAAAGCTTGTTACATATCTCCTTGTTGCACTTAACGCATATTCCTAGTTCCCAAAAGATCGTCGTTGCTCTTTTTTAGTTATAACTACGCAGGATTAGGTGAGCTTTCAATCTGAAAGGCTAAAAATCTGAGTTTCGACACTCTTTTGTTGAATTAGTAATATTTTGTAGAGTAAAGACTTGCAGTTTGCACATTTATTATAAGTAGAGGGACCCCTACATTTTTGTTTAAAACAAAAACTGTTGTAAAATATACATATAGCTTTTGGCACTTGAGATACCCATGCTGTGTTCAGCAAATTCGGAACCATTAAAATTACTCTTTGACCAACAATAATGTGTCCGTATAGCATTTTTATTGGGATTTCAAACAAGGTGAATATAGTTGTTAAATTAACTATCATTAATTTAATTCGGACCAATTAGAAATTTAATGTTAACGTTGTAGGCGTGTCCCACGTATTTTTAAAAATCCAGAATCACCTCTTTCAAAGTGACTTCGGCCTCCCACTTGGCCTCCTTGTGGGCCATCGGTGACTTCAGGACCTTCCTGGACCTAAATTCCTGGCACTTTGTCTCGAAAAGCTTGGGTGGCATGGGTTGGGTTGGCGATGACACATGCATGGCGGTTCGCAGCTCTTCCGGATCCTCGGTGACACTCATGGATTTGATGAAGTCGATCAGGCGCTGATTGTCCTCAGTGAGGCGACGCTTCTCCTCCAGCATCAGCAGATTTTGGGCCTCGGCCATCGCCTGGCGGCGCCAGAAGTTCTTCAGACTTTTGTTTAGCTCCACCAGTTCCTCCTCGGTCATATCCACGTGAGCCTTCATGTCGAGGGTCTGCAGCTTGAAGTTCTCATCAACCTCCACCTCGGTTTCGTCGAATACCTCGCCGCCGAGGATTACCTTTTCCGATTCGGTTTGCAGTTTCCTGCAGGTGATCGACAGGGCCAAGAGTAGTTCCCCACTCTTCACATGCTTCTCCATTTGCTGAAATAATAATACCAATTTATAAGTAATATATAAATGAGTAATGGGGCTGGGGATAGGGGTTCACCTTGGTCAACTCGTAGCACTCGCCGGTCAGGATGCGCAGCTTCTCGTGGGTGATCTCGCGATCCATCTCCTGGTTGAGCTCGATCTTCTTGCGCACGTTGGTGAAGTACTGGAACTCCAGGCGCAGATCGTTGAGCGTGGAGTTGTTCTCCGCATCCATGCGCATCATTTCTCGCTGCAGTTCCGCCTGCATGTTGATGTACTTGGACTCCTCGGCGTTCAGCTTGCGTGACTCCTCCATGAAAGCCGCCTGGCGCTCCGTCAGCCAGTGGATCTTCTCATACTTGTGGGCATCCAGTTCAGTGCTCCTCAGAGACTCCACAAAGTCATTCAGTTGCTGCTGCATGTGTGTCATTCGGCGGACAATCTGATCTCGAATCTTGAATCTGTTTTCAATCTCTGTATTCACACGATCGTCGCGCTGCTCCAGGTAGATGGTGTAATCCTCCTTAAGCTGATCCCGGGTGGTGATGTTGGTGGCATGGATTATGTTCTCGGAGTTCGTTTTCATCGCTTCCACCTCCTCGGTTCGCCGGCGCACCTCCTCATAGTAATCCCTCAGCATCTCGTCCGCCTGCTGGTCATACATGCTCTTTACCCCGCCCAACATCACGTGGAAGCAGTCGCGGATGTGGTCGATCAGCTCCACCGTCTTGCTGTAGCAACGCACGTGCTGATCCTGCGTCTGCGACATGTCGTCCAGGAGCATCTTGATGTGGTCGTTCTTGGCCTGAATGATACGCTCCGAGCGCTCGCCCCACGCGGTCATCTCTTCGTTCAGCTCCTTGATCTTGATCTCGCGGCACATCTCGTGCCACTCCTCGTTGCCCTTCTCCTCCATGCGCTTGCCCATCTCCAGCTCACGCATCAGGGCATCCTGGAAGGATTTTTATTGATTAACCAGAACTAGAGCATAGTGTTCTAATAGGAACAATTCTACGGGTTATGAAAGAAACGAAACTTAAGAAGTATTCCAAATTCATATTAATAGCCCACCCGCATGATGAGCCGCTTCTCATCGATGGCAGCCTGTCGCTTGGCCTCCTTCTTGGCGGCCTTCTTCTCAGCCCTGGTCAGTTTGGGCGGTCCTTGGGGCTCCTGCTCCTCCTCCAGTTCCTGGAGGTAGTTTTCCGAAATGCGCGTCAAGCGCGCCAAAATTTCAGCCATTTTGCTGTGTGTATTAGTAGTTGAACTCAAGGCGTAAATCAATGGTGAAATTTTTGGAAAATCGGTTGGAGAGCTAAATTTGAATTGTGTGCCAGCTTGAAAGCTGAATCGAAGTTTTGCTGACAGCTTTCGATGGCAAATTCCAACACTGGCTACCAGCTTTTTTAACGACTTTTCGCAGCATCTGAAGCTTTGCCGCCCGACAGTGATTTCCTCAGTTCACTCTCAAAGCTCGGCTCGCGAGGTTGTTTATAGCGCCGCGACTGCGGGATTGCCAATAAGGATTCCTTTCCGGGTAGTTAAAGCCTGGCTGGCTTGCTCACTAAAGGCACGCCACAACGGCCTGTGTGTGTGCGTGTGTATCTGTGTGTTGCGGTCCTTTTTCCCGGCAGGCAGTGCCTTGTAAACAAAAATAACTCTGCTGCCGCGGCGAGGTTGCCAGCGAGGGTGGTTACAACCCCCAAATCTGAAACATCCGACGACAAAAGCAACTACAAAGCTCCGCGCAGGATAATTGGCAAGGGCACTCCTGGCTGCCAACTTTTTCGGGGTTGCAGACAGTCGGCAAACAAGCTGCGAATGCGACTTTAAACGTCCATAAACATTCAGCCACAAAACGAAATAACGAAATAAAAAACAACGATTGTTCGGTTTAACTGGGCATCGAAGTACCTCGCATCTGGTATCTGCAAGTGAAACTGCTACTGCATCTGTATCTGTATCTATTTGTGAGCGGCGAAAATGAGCGAATCCAGTGGCTATCAGAAAATGCCGCCCGGCTGGGACTGCAAATACGATCAAGCAACTGGAAATTGGTGAGTTGCATGTGCACAGCCCGACGTCATAAATATTTATGCATCCATTAACCACAATGTCGTGAAATGCGGACTCTACTGGGAGATGTGGGGGCCAGTAGGGGAAAACGGGGCTCCATTTGATAGGTTGCCATGGGAGGTAACTGATAAATTTGCGTGCCAAAGTTGCCTTGGGGTGGGTCTATCGGTGGGTGGTGGTGGGTGCATGTAGGGGGCCTTTGGGCTTAGGCCCGTACTTCTTGCCACATTGTCCTTAAAACGCTTTAAAATGGGTGGTGTTTGCCACGTCTGGCCTTATGGCCGATAAGGGAATTACTCGTTGGCTTGGAGAAGTTAGTGTTAATCAAGCTTTGGAGTTTCAAAAGCGCTACTGCTTAAAACTTACCATATTAACTCAATACACAATGGCTTAAAGTTTCTATTGGTTAACTTATTGCAGTTAATATTCGACTAAATTAGCTAGCCAAAAATTTCCAAATCATTACATTTATTATATATGCATTGCCTTATGTTTTGCATTTTATTTGTCTTGCGCTGAGTGAACTCAAAAACTGTTTAAAATTTAAATTGTTATTTTTGATATGTAATAGAATTTTAAATCGATTTTGTAAATTCATGTATAATCCCTTTGTTTTACACTTCATTTCGCTGTATTAAGCTCCTTAGCTACACACGTGTGGGTACAATTGCTCTGTGGACTACTTAAGGCTTCCTAGCCACTCCAATTGGCCTCGTTTCAGCGGCATAAATTGTGTCACTTCCGCGTCGTCGGATGCCAGCGGGGTCTTTAACTTCTCCCTAGCCTGTCTTACATACGAGTATAACTCAACCCCTTACGCTTAAAAAGCCTTGTGCAATTAAGCAACAAGCCCGGCGACTGTCATACGTTAATTCAAGAGGCCACTCAGCCGAAGACGAGCTTTCCATCCTTATGAAGTCCTCATCGCCATCCACCCTCTCCATTACCAAATCAGAGCAGAGATGGCCTGCCAAACGGAGATGGAAATGACGACTGAGCGTCCGCCTTTTGGCAGCTACTTGGCACGTGCCTTGGTTTAGGCGGTTCCTTTACCCTTTGCCCTTTACCTGTCCGCCCTCCCAAGGGATCATCAACATGTGGCCAGATTCCCAATCCAATCCAGGCCAAGCCACCACCAACCGGCCGGCTTAGGATGTGCCTCCACCCTTGGCCTGAATCCAGGAGCTTTCGAACGGCCCTGGGCGGGGGAGGTCATTTGATGACCTTTGATTTCGTAGAAGCTCATCTTCCATTTGGCTGCCCTCTTCCCATTCCAGCTATTACATAAACTATCTGACGAAGGCCATGCAGCTGGAGGATCCGCGCGGCCGCAGTTACAGGCAGTTGCAGAACGAGCGCTGTTCCACGGAGTCGATAGCCTTGCAGGTAAGCTCCCCTCCTCCCTTGCATTTTATTGATTTTTGATTCAAATGGAACCCTCGTACTTTGCAGCAGTTGGTCAGTCAGCCGCAGACGTCGCACAACAGCTCGCCGTACCACGTCCATCCCAGCAATAACTTGACTGCCATTCGGGCGTTCCAGGAGCGCCAGCAGCCCACGCTGCACAACGTCTCGACCAGTCCACTGCTGTCAACCTCCTCCGGCGGACACTTGGTGAGTACAAAATGAGCTGAGAATTAATGATGAGAGAATACGGTTGAAATCAGGTGTGGGCGTCATTAAATATGTGTATAAGAATGTCGTTCTTCCACAAAAAAAACGCAGTCATCTTCCGATTTTGTGATTATAAGTAGATAAGTAATCGCTGATTGGGGATATTGGTAAGGCCTATACATTTTGTCAGGAAAGAGGTATGTGATTGCTGTGTCCTCAAAATTATGACTGCAACTTTAATGTGATAGATAATTTTATCAATAGCATAGATTTAAGCTTTCAGCTTGCGAACATGAAAATTCATCATTCGAAGCACCTTTCTCATTTGACGTTCGAGTATCGACTATGAGTATGAGTATTTAATTAGGTTATTTTCCATTTAACCCACAGGAAATGTCCTCACCTCTGCCCTTTCAACGAGCTCGCGTGGGACCGAATCTCTCGCGGCGCTCCACCATTCAGGAGACCTCGTTTACCACGCAGGCGGAAACGGATGCAGTGGTGACCAAGATCCAGAACATGTTCCCCACCGCAGGCGAGAACCATATACGCCTCCTGCTCAAGCGGTAAGAAATTGGACCCGCCCTCAACCAAGTCCTTGTGCCAGCTCTGCTAATCCCCACTAATCTGCGTACTTACATCTATGTCTTCTCACACGCCGCCTAATTCTGCTGCTTACTGCACCTGTCTAACCACACGATTAAACGCTAATCCCACGCTTACTAACCCACTGCTCCAGCTACTACAATAGCGAGGCGGTTGTCATCAGTGCTCTGCAGGTGGAGAAGCACCCGGTGACCATGCCCGGTCCCTTCGTGACGCCCCCTTCGCAGCGGCACCTCTTCCACAGCAGCTCCGCCTTCTACATGACCCCACCGGCACGTCGGCCGGACACGGTAGCTAGTCGGCGCACGTCGCGCACGGCCAGTCCCCTGCCCGGTGGACGCTTCGGTAGTCTCGTGAGCGTGCAGAGCGGTCCTGGCGGTCCAGGCGGCCACCAGGTGGTCCTGCCACCCAGCTCGGCTGTTCCTGCAGCTCTGCACGGATCGCCCCTGTGGCGCAGTTCGCCTAGGCCGCACTCATCGCCCAAGATGAAGCTGAGGTTCGCTGGGGTTCCCGATTGAGGGACATTTTAAAGCTTTGGGACTGGTGGATTATTTAATATCTGTATTTCCTACCCTTCTATACCTATAGAACTTGTAAATTTGCTGTTTTCGTTCGTTTGTCCGCAAGTTGTCCGTATAGTAGAGAAATACCTCGAAGTGAAAACTAATTATGTAATATTTTTGTACAGTTTGTAACGAACAATTAAGCGATGTTAGGCTTGGGTTATTTTTTAAGTATTTCGTATCTTTTAATATAGTGCATTTGGTTTTTAATTATTTTATTAACATTGTTGAAAAATGTATTTAATATAATCCACGGGTTACTTGTTAAGTCACAAATTTTCAAACTCTAAATGTTGTAACATCATATTCTTTTAATTTCAATTTTCCTTCGTTAAATTAAAAATTATAATTTATAATGATATATTATAGCTTTGGTAAATAATATCAAATTTCCATCATAGATACATGAAGAACATATTTCCCAAGGCGGACGAAGAGCTGCTCCTCGATATCCTGGCCAATGCGGACAACAATGTCCAGTTTGCATCGCAGAAGCTGATTTCTTTGGGTTACACAAAGCGCGACATGCAACAGCCACACAGACCCAACAATCGGCCGCCGGATTTAAATACAGATCACGAGGCTGGAGGGGATCAGGGTGGTGTACATATACCACTGAGACCTAAGGAATACACAGAAGAGGAGAAGACCAAAAGTATGTTGAGTAACACATTTTAATGTCACATTTAAGTCAAATTTAATATCTTTTACTTACAGTGCAAACTTTGCTCAAGGAGAAGTACCCACAGATTGCCGAGCGCATTATCCTAATGGCTTTGGAATCCGTAAACTATGCAGAGGATAGGGCTTCTCAAATCCTACAAATTGTGCAGGACGAGGACGAGCAGCGGGCGCAAAAGCAGGCTCCCACGAATCCCAAGCACCTGGATCTTAAGAAAACCACAGGAACCGATCAGGTTGATGCTGCCAACCAGAAAGACAGGTAGACCTTGACTTTATGTTTTCCCGCTCACTCGATTTAAACCAACCGATCAAGGCCGTGGCCATCCGCTTTTTCCACCCACCAATCAAGTTTTTCTCCTTGGTCCGCTGCTTTATCCGTTTTTTAATCGACTGCCTATTTTCTATTTGAACTTTCTTTGCTGCCTCCGCCTCTGACTAAATCCCCGAACCACAAAAAAAAAACACTATTCGCTTGCCTTGCGTCACTTGATCATCCAGCCTGCCCGCCGTGGTGGAGCCCACCACCTCATGCAAGCCGAAGCCACCGCACAAGCGCCACATTCTACCATCGATCAATGTCACCACACCATCGACGTTCACCACCCAGATCATTTTGGCCCAGGCCACGCCCACGCCAACGCCCACAGCAGAGGATACGAAGCTGGAGACCCATCTGTCATCCATCTCCAGTGCTTCCTCATCGCATTCATATGCCTCACCCGCACAATCACCCCGCATCCGTCCGCAAAGCTACGAACGCCTGACCACCAAGAGCATCTTGGCCAAGAGCGGCTATAACCATTTTGGCCACCAGAGCGATACCAATAACTACAGCATCGACGGCTACCTGCATGGCTCCTCAAATGCTAGCTCCTACTCCTCCTACTCCGCATCAATGACGTCCTCATCGCTGGTCTCGTCGGCCCAGTCCAACTCCTCATCCATCGCGAGGAGGCCAGCATTCGAAAGTCGTGCTCGCACCAAAACCGATTCACTGAAGTATGCCCGCTAACACCCAAAACCGTTCCAATAACCGTTTCTGTTACCGTTTCGCTAAGTACAATCAATAGTTTTGTGCATGAGTTTTTTAAGGATTTCGCACGGATTGTAGCGAGAATCCGGTTTGAGATATTATTTTTTAACCTGATAACTCACTTTCTTTCGGCATGCCTTAAGCTGATATAATCTTTGAGATCTTTTAGTTAAATAAAAAAGAGAAGACTAAAAATGTAATGTTCTTAACAGGCATCGCCAGCACTCCTTTGGAAATTCACATAATTCGGAATCAGCGGAATTTCAATCTATTATCGAACGAATGGCCAGTTTGGGACCCAATTCCCAGCTAAGCAAGGGTGCAGATGAAAATCTTTTGCTGTAAGTTCATTTCAATGTCTATATAGTAAAAACAAAGTTACCTCTATGAGTACTTGAATTATGCTTTTCAGAGCCGATTATGTCACCTGGAACGGACCCAATACGAAGCTACTTCAGAAGCAGGTGACTCATGGACCAGATGCTAGTCTTCTCACAGATCGCACCTACAAGCCAAGAGGTGGGAACTCGGAGCTCTGCAAAGGACCCCAGTCCGGATTGGCCAAGGGCAGTATCTACGCTCAAGGCAGCAACAAGAGCCCCAACATCAAATGCAACTAGGCGGGAGTACGTCTTCTTGAATCTCCCCAAAAATGCCAAAGAAGTGAAGATGCATCTTAGTAACTAGCCAAGCACCACCCTCCACAATTAGACTTACCATTCATATGTGTCGTATAGTGTTTATTGATCTTATCCCAAAATGGCTACCAAATTCCACACGAGTACGTAGACTCAACAACAATATAAAAACCATGTCACATTCCATCCAAGCTCCAATTGTTTTTTAGTAACTCGTAAATAAACAGACTTTAAAACTAACCAACTAACTTAATAATAATGCGTGTCTGGAGAGAGGGGATTTCGGTACAAGAAGCACATGGGGGTTATCTAGACCTCATCCTCGTTGAGGAGCATGTTTGGTATGCCATCGGTGATGGGAAACACACGTCCTGTTTCCGGACACTCCAGTTGACCCTCGAGCACGTCGATCTCGAAGAGCAGGTGGTGAAGCTTCTGCAAAAGCAGCTCATTCTCCCCAACGTTTTCAGGCTGAACCGCAGGGATGTCATCTGTGAGTTCCGCCTGAAAAGTAAATTATAATTATTACAGAATCAAAAAAAATAAAAGTTATAAATGGTTCAATAAGTTCATACATTTACATATTAAAAACATAACATATAAAACTGTTTTTAAACGTTAATTTGTTTGGGAAACTACTAGTTATATTACTTACCACCTGAGCAGCTCCATAGACCGCTGACCAGTCCAGCTTGGGAAGAATTCTCTCTACAAAAGTTGGATTAAATTCGCTCTCCACCACTTCCTTTTTGCTAATCTGGATGCACAAATACTCCGTGAAACAATCAATAGGCATGATTTGGAATACCAGAACTCACCGTCAGTTTCAGGGGGAATCCCACTTTGACGCCCTTGATGGCCATGGAGGTCAAGAAGTTGTATGTGCTGAGTTTCATTTTCGGGCTTGTAAAGGCTTTATTAATACCAGAAGTAGCAGTAAACAATAATGTTTTTAAATAATATTTGCGGTGCACGTTGTATTCCTTCTTCTTCTTTTTTTGACATTCCCTACTGATGGACGATATCGATAGCTCGATACGCACTTGTCGATGCTCTTCAGCAGTTGGCAACGCGAGCCGTGAATTAAATATTTGAAACGTCCACACTGCACAAATTTTAATAAGAAATACTCACAACTGTCGCATTTTAAACGTTTTAATCTGGTTCTAGATGTAAATAAGGTTGGAAACCCTATAAAAACAGTGACCAAGAACGGAAAAAGGAGTGAGGAATAAAAATGGAAGACATATTCCACTGGTGCCGCGAGGGCAACTCGATTCAAGTGCGCCTCTGGTTGGACGAAACGGAGCACGACAACAATTTGGGGTAAAACTAAAAGAGGCAACTATCTTCGGCACTTTCTAATTGCTGCAGAGTGCAGTAAGAAAGTTAGGCCCTTCAGTAGCAACATTCTCTACCAGGAACATATATTTAGTCATCGCCGCCATCGCCTCAATACGCCCAATATTTCGAGGGTCTTTCAAGTCTAAGTGACGTCATGATTTATTCTTGTGTTGTGTAAACAGACGAATCAAAAATATATATGCATGCATATGTATGTGTATACTTTTCTGTGTGCATATCGCGAGCATAAAACCTGCACCCCATGCAATAAGTTTATATTGAATTTTACTTGTAGACACATTACATTTAAAATACATATATAAGTACCATCATACTTACAAATTAATTCCTGTCCTTTAGGGACGATCATGGCTTCAGTCCGTTGCATTGGGTGGCTAAGGAGGGTCACGCCAAGCTGGTGGAGACTCTGTTGCAGCGCGGATCGCGTGTGAACGCCACCAATATGGGCGACGACATCCCACTCCATTTAGCGGCAGCACACGGCCACCGCGACGTGGTCCAGATGGTGAGATAACACAGCAACCAGCTGGCTAACTTATTCAATAACTTATCTGCCTCTACAGTTGATAAAAGAGCGTAGCGACGTGAATGCGGTGAACGAGCATGGAAACACACCCCTGCACTACGCCTGTTTCTGGGGCTATGATATGATCTGCGAGGATCTGCTGAATGCGGGAGCCCAGGTGGGAATTGCAAACAAGGACGGGCACACACCTCTCGAAAAGGCCAAACCCAGTCTGGCAAAGAGGCTCCAGGATCTTGTGGAGAAGAGCGGCAGGGAGGTTAAGGTGATCAGCTTCAAGGAGCAAAGCTGGCAGGGCTTGAAGACGAGATCCCGGGATGCCACTTTGTCCCGTTTCAAGGGAATTAGTATGGGAGACCTAGACCTGCATACAAAGCTCTCGGTGACGCCATCAGGAGAAACTTGGAGAGGACGCTGGCAAAAGAACGATGTGGTGGCCAAGATCCTGGCTGTGCGCCAGTGTACGCCTCGTATATCGCGCGATTTTAACGAGGAGTTTCCCAAGCTGCGGATCTTTTCGCACCCAAACATTTTGCCTATTATTGGAGCATGCAATTCGCCACCCAATCTGGTGACCATTAGTCAGGTGTGTTGGATTTTAAATACTTAAGATATGGCTATATAAACTAACAATTCCATGTTCTTCAGTTCATGCCACGTTCTTCGCTGTTCAGCCTGCTGCATGGAGCCACTGGCGTCGTGGTGGACACCAGCCAAGCCGTAAGCTTTGCCTTGGATGTTGCGAGAGGAATGGCTTTCCTGCACTCGCTGGAGCGCATTATACCAACATATCACCTGAACAGTCATCACGTGATGATCGACGATGATCTGACGGCGAGAATCAACATGGGCGATGCCAAGTTCTCTTTCCAAGAGAAGGGACGCATCTATCAACCGGCTTGGATGTCGCCGGAGGCTTTGCAGCGCAAGCAGGCGGATCGAAACTGGGAGGCCTGTGACATGTGGAGCTTTGCTATTCTCATTTGGGAGCTGACTACGCGCGAGGTCCCCTTCGCCGAGTGGTCGCCTATGGAGTGCGGCATGAAGATTGCGTTGGAAGGTCTGCGGGTCAAGATTCCGCCAGGCACATCAACGCACATGGCCAAGCTGATTTCAATCTGCATGAACGAGGATCCCGGCAAGCGGCCCAAGTTCGATATGGTGGTTCCCATTCTGGAGAAGATGCGCCGCTGAAGGGAAGGGGAAAAACTATAAATGCCAAGCAAAAATGTGCCTTGAGGAACCTTAGATTTGCCAACTAATTGTAATTACTACTTTGTGTTACTTTTGTCTAACTGAGTTTAACCGAAAACCGTACCGAAATGGCAAAGCAAGTGCAGCGTTTCTGTCTAGAGCTTATGTTTCTGTGTCTCATTGTTGTGCGGGTGCTCGATTATTGACATTTTAAGTTTAATAACCATTATGATCGTATTTATACAGAAATATATTTGTTACTAACTAATTCAATTGATTGTATACCTCAGCAAATGCGGAACCACTTACGAGCGCTTTAGTCTTCAGAGCTTATTCGATGAGAAGCAAAACAAGACGAGAGCTTTTCGCCGGAGTGGGTGGCAATGCATCAGCGCAGCGGGTCGGGTAACGTGAGCACGGCGGCCCTGACCTGGTTTCCACTTCAGCACGCGATATTGTGCAGCTCGCGTGGGCAGAGCAAACTCGGCGATTCTAGAAGAGCGCGCCGGCGTGAGAAATTCGCGAGAGAAGCGGAAATTTGTTGTATTTGCTCGAAATAATTTACATTTATTATCCAATATGTTTTCATTTAAAGGTTTAGGGGAATATGTGTGTTTTTGATCATAACTAAGTTTTTTTTTAAAGCTTCATACTCTATTTCATATAAAATCAGCCTCTAAAGTTTTTTTTTTTTTTTTCTCAATTTATGTTTAAAGCGCATAAGAGAAAATTGCAATATATTTAATGACTTTTTTCATTGAATATAGCTTAAATCATTTATAATATAATTATTATTTATGTTTGTGCCATTATTTTGTTTCATTTGTTTGTTTCATTATTCAAAGTACTTTGCAAGTCGATAAGATACAAATATTATTGGTACTATAAATTTCCCTTCATAATTAAACAAATATTTGGTTTAAAAATATAACTTTCTAATATTCATGTACATGTACATATATTTTTTAAGATTTATTTTTTTTTTTATACATTTAAGCCTTTCTCCGCGTTTTCTCCTGGCCCGGCTCTCACCGGCTAGCGCCTCTCTGTTTATGTTTTTGCGGCAACGCTTCATTCGGGCCAGAATGTTGTTGCTGCGGTAAGCTTGCACCGAGCCATGTGATTGTTTTGCTGGCTCGCTCTTGCCTCCTGCCGCACACATCCTGTGGCAGGTCCTTTTTTGTGTTGCTGTTGCTGCTGCAGCTTTAAAAACTTTTTGCTGCATTTTGTTGTCGCCGTCGTCATGTCGCTGTTCTAGTCGTCGGCGCTTTTCGGGCCCAGAGGCTGGTCGCTCGGTCTCCGCACGGGCCGAAACGGAAAAACGGCAAGCTGCAGTGGCCAAAAGCCGATTTACAGTATTCCACGGCAGTTATGACGGCAGCCAGCCAAACGGCAAGAGCATTTCCGCAAAGGATTCCCAATGAGATTGCAAAAGAAACATCAAAGAAAATTGGTGGAGTGAAGTGCATACGTGAAATAAATGAAAATTAAAGGAACCCCAAAAGCTCTACATTCCAAATTTACCCACACACAGGCAATCGCACACACACATACGTTATGCAGTGAAAGTGAAACATTTAGTAGCATCTTTTAGGCGCAGCGCAAAAAGGCGTTTGGTCCATACTTTCACTTGGAAGGCTTGCAATCATTCTTGTTCGGACCAAAATCGGTGGTGCAGCTGCTTAAATGTATTTTAGTGACAGCTCGGAAAAACAGCCAGCCCCTTGGAGGGCCGGCAATCCATGGAGTATTCAAACACCACTGGTTTGACTCACAACATCAAGGAGAAGTCGCACAATCCGGAGCAGCAGCAGCCCATCAAAACCAGGTTAGTACTTAAAAATAGTGCGCAAACATGCCCCATTTAATGACCACACCTGAGCCAAAGTGGTTGCCCCCTTTTGTGCTTTCATTTTTTTCTGTTTTATCTCCCTTATTTCAATTAACCATACAATTGCCCGGGATGAAATGAAAAAAACATTGCAGGCATGAAGAGAATGGGAACTTTTCAGCCACAGTTTGCCGCAGTTACTCCATCATTCATTTGGCTGACGAGTGAGCCACTAACCTACTTCCTTCACACACAAAAGCCGCAGTTGCAGGCAGGCAGCATCTGCTGTGGTGCAGCCGTAGTTATTGTTGCTGCTGCTGCTGCTGCTTGTGCTGCTGTAGCCGGCTTGCCACGCCCACACAATGGAAATGGGCGATGGGGGGCCGCGGACAATCTCGTGAAGAATGACGTTGGCGTTGATGAGTAAAAATGTGAAAATTACATGGCAGGCGGATGGAAATAAACGACGACAGTGCATAGCAAATGATGAGATTTACCCCGCAAAAGGCGCAGCCTTTGTAAAAATATACAGGCATAACATAGATAAATGAAAATCCTCAATGCGATCGATGGGTTGCCTGAATAAATCAAGTGTTTCATTTTGCAGACATTAGCGCACACAAAAGCCGTTGGGAAGAACAAGCCCGAAGAAAGTGGCGGAGGGCTCCTTGCCAAGACTAAAACTAAAACTGAAATGCCACATGGGCAAATATTTCACTTGTGCTTTCGAGCGGCGCATTGAAAAGCGAAAATATTGTGACAATATAAGCAGCAGGAGCAGCAGGAGCATCAGCAACCCAATACCAGCAACAAAAGCACGCCCGAGTGTCTTCCTCTTGTGTGAAGTGCATAACAACGTGGAAATATTGCAAAGGCAAACTACACACAAGGAGGGAAACAGCAACTAAATGCAATGACAGGCAGCAGCATCACTGCCACAAAGTGGAAAAGGCAAAAAAAAGTTAGAGAATACAGAAAGGGCATGTGGAAATGCGAAAGGCAGCCGCAGGATGTGTAGATGGCAGGACGGCGGCACATGCAAAGCATCTATTGATTTTTATCCTCTTGCTGCAGGCGCTCTCCATTGGTTTGGCTTAAGCCACAGGGCGTATGAGTAATGCAGATTGCGTATACTTGATTTATACGGCCAGCTAAATGTGTTGCCCCTGTCACAGCCTAGCTGCTGATGGTGCCATCAACTTCAGATGCAAGTGCAATAAATCTCGGCAAGCTGGCCAGCTTTAAGAATTGCTTAGGCAAACAAAAACCTCCTTAAGTTTCAACACAACCAAACAACAATCGATCACAGTGGGTGGAAAACTGGACGCTGATGCTCAATAAATTCTGTGTGGGGCCTGAACTAGGGAAAATGGCCAATTACGAGGCAAAACGAGTTAAGAATTGTGCCAGGAGAGAGATGGCCGATACAGAAGCCCGGCTTCTTGCCCCTCCCGCCGATATATCTCTTGGAATAAATGGCCATAGCCGCCTGCACTTAACATGAATGGCCATTTTTCCAATCAATTACGTACAATAGATGAGCGGGTAGTGCAAGAGGGCGAATGGCAGCGGAAAATGGGGAAAAGAGTTGAAAACGTACAAGCGAAATGTGCAAGGGATGGGTCTGCAGGGCGAGCCACTCAAGCCAACGATAATTACTTGAATTTTAAAGCAACACTGCGGCTTTTCTCGAGCCGCAATTACCTTTGGCATTGACATTGGGGAAACTCAAGCAGGCAAGCTCTCCACCACCCCCGGATTATAGTTGCAACGCTATTATAAGTATATACTTGTATTTTACTCTAATCATTTGCTCTTTGCAACCCTTTAAAAATTTAACAATTCTTCACCTTGGGAAAAATCTATAACTACATATATTTCACTTCACTCTACAAATTTTAAGTTAGTAAAAATATAATAAAGTTAGATAAAGCACTTAAGCACACCGTAAAATAAGTTTCGGGCTTTCACCAAAATGTATATTGACTTGGCCATAACTATTTACAAATTCGTTGAAATATATTGTTTAAGTCTGAATAAAAATGAACCCAATAAATTGAATCACTGTTGATCACTTTATTTCAAATACATTTTGCAGACTGCCTGTGATTGGAAACTGCTACATCAAGATTGAATCGCCGACCGGCTCGCAGTCGATAGCTTTGGGCAGCCAGCGTTGCCTCAATACGCCCCCAACCACGCCCAGCAGCCCGCTGAGGGAACCGCCCCAGAGTCCGTCGGACGGTCACGTCTCCTCGCTGAGCTCGCACTCCGGATCGGGATGCAGTGACATCCTGCTGGGTGAGTGGCGCCCACCCCAAGCCCCCGGCTTACTCCCGTTTCGTTTGATTGCATTTCCCGGCGGCTGTTATTTATAGCTGCCCACAAAACAGATCATGACCTAGGGAATGGCAACATTTTATTGAGGTTGCTGACACTCGCCGCCCCCAGTTCTTGCTCCCCAGTTCGATACCAACCCCGCCACTTTTGGCTTAGTTTACTCTACATGCCACCAGCGCCCAGTGAAATGTGTTGGCTGGAGGTGCCAGCCCATCCCGACACAAACTGTCCCAGATTCCGACGGCGCACTGAGCGAAATCCACTTTGTTTCCGACAACACACTTTAAAATAATAAATTAAAGAGTTAAAGAAATTAAGAACTTGTTCAATTGCTGGTGTGTTATGTTTGCTTTCTGTCCATCCAAATATTGTATAAACATGACTGTAAGATTTTAATTTATCTTATATACATGCAGATACTATTTCTCGTTGTAAGGTTCCACATTTTTGTTAGGTGCATTCGTTGCTTTTCCTGCCTTTGACGTTTGCATGGGCATCGCATCTTTTTACAATTTGTGCTTTCTGGTATTCTGCACTAGCAGATGGAAATATAATGTACATATGGGGATGGAAATATAATAGTTAAACTACTTAATCGTGGTGTAAAAGGGTATATTGGAAAGTATGCAACAGGTATATGGAAGCCTTTCGAGCCTTTGATATACATATGTATATACTTCAAGCATATACATACATATATGCTTGATCAAGATCATTTCCCCTGTTTTGAGTCTGAGTTGCGAACTTCAGTTGTTTGCTGTTCCGCTTAAATTCGGTCGTTGTTTGATCTTTAACTGGGCGAACTTTTCCCTCCATTCCTCGTCGCGCATCGAGTGATAATTTCTAACGTTCATTGAGGCAAAGTTTGTTTACCAGCCGAGTGCTATCAAAATCAGTCAGGCCTCAACAACAATAGCAACAAATGGTGGCGAGTGAAAAATGCGCAAAGTAAACAAGAATCAGCACAAGAGGCTGAAATCAAGAAACTGCACTACAAGAAAATGATTTTAGATGAGAGAGTACTGCATATCATAAAAGAGCATACGTTATGGAAAAACGAAAAAATTAAATTACAACATTTTTCAATTTAATTTATATCATTTGTTTTAAATAAATAAATAAGCTCAAATAACTAGGTTTGTTGTTGACAGTTAATGCAGCCTTTCTAATTATTATACTGATCTCTTTTGGTCTGTGTAGAATCTAAAGGCTGTCGGCAGTGGCATAATAATAAGCAAATGATTTAAACTAAACGCATTCTGCGCATTTGTTGTTGCTGTTTCTGCTGTTGTCTCAAATGTTGCCCATGACGTTGCCCACAAGTCATTGAACTTAAAGCGGCGAACGTGGAGCCGACAATAGCAAAATAAATAAACGCGAAAAAGGCGAAGAAGCCAAGGCAACTACCCCCTCACCGCCCGTGAGATGATAAGTGAAATGCAGTAATAATAAGAATAGTGCTCCCCTTTTCACCCGCCCATCTTTAAACAACTCTCACTCACACACACACGCACACACTCACTCGATTCGATTACACAATCTTCGCGAGCGGCATTTTCATTTTTCTCTTCCTGGTTCGTCGTCATCGCAACTGCGCCTGTATGGGTGAGCGTCTCTGGAGCAGTGTGCGTTGCGTATCGGTGTGTCTGCGGAGATCAGGTTTTATCGCCCGACGCAATCGGACATATAGTGTGCTATAGCATGCCACAGCCGGGCTGGATCGCTGTATCGCTGTATCGGTGTATCGGTGAATCGGTGTATCGGTGGGGGCGGCGGAGTTATCGCTTCGATTGGTCGTCGTACCTCGGCTGCGCGCTGGCTTTTCGCTTTCGCGGAGGATCGTGGATATGCGGCTCCACCGATCGCCCAGTTGCCGTTTTCCTGTTATTTACAGTTTCTGGTTGCTTTCGCTGCTGCCCGTTGGAAAAATGGCAAGCTAGCATGCAGTTGACGTCGCTGCTGCCGCTGATCATTGACTCTCGTTGGTTCCCTTTTGCGCCACTTATTCGTCAGGAAAACTGCGGAAAATAGTCAGGAAAACGTTAGGGAAAAGTACTATTGGGTAGCTCCAAATTATAAGATTTCTGTAAATGTTATTATATTATGTATCTACTTTAATGCGTTTAATTCCTTTCACCCTTGTAATTATATTATTTTTGTATCTGTGGGGCCAATAACGTTTATACATTTCATTTTCCGTAAAAATTTATTTATTTTTCGACAAACTTTGGCATTGTAAGTTTATCATTTTCGAATCGGTTTGACCCAGAAGAAAATTCCTAGATATGTATACTTTATTTGATCTTCAAAAATAATTGTCGAGAGTATTTTCGTGCCAAAAACTGCAGTTTTCCACTTTCTTTTGGGTGGAAAACAGCGCAAAAAACGCAGGAGCAACATGCTACATTTAAACTTCCGCATTGCAGAATGTTCTCTCCCACTCTGCCGTCGCCGTTCGCCCTTTCTCTTTCTTGCCTGCTCAGCTGAAGGTTCTTTGACTTGACCCCCCTTAAAGGCGCCCCCACTTCTGCCCTCTCTCTTTCTTGCGCACACATACAGGCCCATTGCCCTCTCCCTCGAGGATAGTGCAAACTAAGTAACGGTTCGCGTGCCTCTCTTTCTCTCTCACTCGCTGCACTGGTGTGTGTGAAATTGATCTTGAGTGGATGTGTTGTTGCACTTGGAAACGTTGGAAGTCGACGCCGGCGTCGGCAGCGACGCCGGCAGCGGCAATAGAAATTGAAAATAGCAACCAGGAAAAGAGTTTGCAAATGGAAAAGTGCAGCAACAACATGCAGCGGCAACAGCGAGAGTGGCAATGCATGTTCTGTTGTGCTGTCGCTGTTGCAACAGTTGCTGCTGCTGTTGCCGATTCTATTGCTGCAGCAGCTTCTAATGTGGCTGCAGTTCTTGCTGTTGCAGCTTGTGTGGCTGCTGCTGTTGCTGGTGGAGATTAGAAAGATAGAACCTCCAGTGCTCGCAGCACATTGACTCTCTCCACCCGATCTGCTCCCCCGATCTCCTCCAGAGACTCCGCCTCGGCGGCGCTTCGCAGTTTTCCCACTCCATTGGGCCACACAGCCGCATTGCATTCTATTTTCCTGCTCTTTCCACACACACACACACACACACATTGGAGCACTGTCACTCACACTGGCGCAGAGCGCCACGTTCTTATTCTTCTGCGCCGCTGCTCCGTCGTCGTCTTGGACTTTTGTGTGTTGTCGTAGGTTCTGCAGTTTGGCTTGGATTTTCCCTGGCGCATTTGGAGCGCTGCGAAGTTGGCGCTTGGATCTCGACGAGGCGAGAGTTTCGTACGCGCGATCACCATTTCCCCCAAATAATAATAAAATCGACCCGCGAGTGTACCGCCTCATAACGAGCCTATATCAAAACGACCGCCCGATTTGGGAACTATCTTGAACTTGGAAACGAAGGACTTCGAAAACAACACGGAAGTGAATTGAGAAATTATGCAATACAAGCTGCTACGAAGGCTAAGTGCAAGTGACAAACTTAACGAGGGGATTGGGAAAGGGAAATGCGGAATGATAGTGATAATTGAATAAAAATATGAAATAGGGAATACTTGCCAAATATTAAAGACTTGGGGTTAGGTATATTTGTAAACTTCTTTTAAGACGTAGTGTTAATGTCATACTTATTATTGATGCCATATATTAGGATTGGTTATTTAAAGTTAAAAAGTTTAAAAATTACCTACTAGCTTTTAAAAATGGATAGCACTTTCTTTTGAAGGACTTTGCCATATGCTAAAGCCTAACTCCTTTTTTTAATTAAGCCGCAGCTGACAAAAGCGAAGAAAACCTGAAAGACCATGAATCTTTTCGAAACCCCCTCTCCGGATTCCCCATAAAGTGCAAAAGATATAAAATCGCTGAGATTTCCCATAAAAATGCTGAGCAGGCGCCCTCGCAGGTTGCCAACGTCGATTTCCACCAGCAGGACGATGATGAAGATGATGGATGTCCATCTGACCGATCCGATCCGAGCAACATGGATGTATACCAAATAGAGCTGGAGGCACAGGCACAAATCCGCTCCAATCTCCTGGTCGAAACCTGTGTGAAGCACTCGTCTTCGGAGCAGCAGCAGCTCCAAGTTAAGCAGGAGGACCTCATCAAGGATTTCGCTCGGGACGCGGAGGAACAGCCAAGCGAAGAGGAGGCGGAAGAAGAGGACGAAGAGGAGGACGAGGAGGAAGAAGACGAAGAGGAAGACGAGGAAGCTCTGCTCCCGGTGGTCAATTTTAATGCAAATTCAGACTTTAATTTGCATTTCTTCGACACACCGGAGGACTCGTCCACCCAAGGGGCCTACAGTGAGGCCAATAGCTTGGAATCCGAGCAGGAAGAGGAGGAGCAAACACATCAGCCTCCGCAACAGCAGCAGCAGCAGCATCACCGTGAATTGGAGGATTGCCTAAGTGCCATTGAAGCTGATCCATTGCAGTTGTTGCATTGCGACGACTTCTATAGAACAGCAGCCCCAGCAGAGAGTGTTGCAGCCAGCCTAGGCCCACAGCAGCAGCAGCAGCAGCACACCCACCAGCAACAGCAGCAGCAGCAGCACCCTGGACAGCAGCAGCATCAGCTCAACTGCACGCTGAGCAATGGTGGAGGTGCTCTGTACACCATCAGCAGTGTGCATCAGTTCGGTCCGGCCAGCAACCACAACACCAGCAGCAGCTCCCCCTCCTCCAGCGGTGCCCACTCTTCGCCGGACAGCGGCTGCTCGTCGGCCTCCTCCTCCGGATCCTCGGGGTCCTGCGGATCCTCTTCTGCATCCTCCTCCTCGTCAGCGGTCAGCAGCAGCAACGGCAGCAGCCGCAGCAACAACAGCGTCGTCAACCCCGCAGCAACATCTTCATCTGTTGCGCATCTGAACAAAGGTACGTGCAACTTGCAACTTGCAACTGACACAGCGACTCTTCCGCGTTGTCGTCTCTTCTACTACGGACCATTGTTGTCGCTCTTGGAAATTATGTTCAATAAATTTGCATTCATTGCATAATAGCCGTAACAGCAATTGAAAGTCGTTGGGGCTTCGGTTTCTTCTCCTTTTGAGGAAACTATTAAAGCGCAGCAGGAAAAATGTGAAAATGAATATAATTCGCTGCTATTGGCCAATCGCTGTTGCTGTTTAAGTTTCTTTTTTAGTATGAGGAAATTGCTTTTCATGTTGCAGGTCCATCAATGGGGTTGAATTTTCCGTTGCCTTTGCTCTTCTGATTGCGAGCAGTGCAATTGAAAGCCGCGGAAAATATGTTTTCATTTTCATAAATCGCCTGGAATTGGTCTCGGCTCTCATTTTGCCTTGGATGATGGCATTTGAATGGGATTAGCCAGTCGTCCGGGAGTAGGTGGTGGCTTCAACGAATGGTTACTAGAAACCGAGACGGAATGCAACGAACTTAGGCTTTATAACTATTAG